CAAACGGTCGGTAACCGGCATGTTTATGCCATAGGGAGTATCCCGGTAGCGCGGGAAGCAGCGTTCGCCAATATTATTTAAAGGCCTCTAACGCTGCAGGAAAATTTTAGTAGAAGATTTAGAACTATGTATGTATTTAGTTTTAGCGTTTGTTCCCGCTTTGAGGGCGTGAAATGCCGTGTCAATGTCCCTAATAAGTCATTGTCCCGGCATTTCAATTGTCGCCCATAAGCATGAACCAGGCCACCAACTCACAAGCTTACATGCAACAACTAAACTAACACAAGGTCGTCCATATGGCACCTTTGCTTGGACAAGGCATCCTCCAATTGGCACGCGGTAAATTGACTTAGATTGTTTGCCCTGGCAAACTTATGTACTCCAAACTCATCCACTGGACGATGCTGGCTGTATTTCTTGCGTGGGCGATCTTGTCGCCGACGGGCGATGTTGTCCAGGGCGATGTTGTTACGGGCGAAACAACGTCCCTCTGAAACGTTTGGATATGCCTATGCAACACATTTCCTCAATTTCATGAACTGCAAGTATTCTAATCCAACATCACCCCAATCTCAGTGTAAACTAGTCTCCAAATGTGCCTGCACAAGACTGTCACCCCTGTCACCCGGCATTCACATTGCCTTAACCTCCTAAGCTTGTCGGGGTGTGACACGTGGGCATGAACCTTGTGACAATGGGCATTGTCACAAAGAAACTGGTTGCAATCAGAAATGCATTTTTCCTCATGCCAGGTTACCGACATCGGTTACCGATTACTGGGGACGGTTAACGGATAACGGTTCGCTCGGTAATCCTACCGACCGGTTACCCATCTCGTTAACTGGACCCGTTAGGTCGGAACCGGGCCGGAACCGGCCTGGAGTATGCCATTGGGAAGCACGTCTTGCTGGACTGTCCGGTGTACGGCGAAACCAGGTCTCCCACGCTTTAAGCATATGAAGGACGCTATGACGTGGGAATCTGAACGTCTGGCGAAGATGCTGGAACGTATGTGGTCCCACAGCAAAACTATCTATCATTCCCTTTGGCCGTTAGTCTCCTTTATCATTTGCTTTGTCTGAAGTGCAAGGTAGGATGGTGCTTACAGGCGATCTGGCAGCCCGTATTGGGCGGTCTGCAGGTACGGGGTACGCATCCCCACGACCATGTAAAACACACACACTCTCTCTCTCTTTAGTACTGATGCGCTGAGCTGACACCCCATCTGCTACACGCCGAAAGTCAAAAGTGGCCTTTGGAAGGGTGCCCCTCGGGATGCGCTTTGATCTGATGCTCTGTGCTGCGCTTGGATGCAGTGCGCTAGTTGGGGGATCGCCGTCCTATCTCGGAGGTTGTGTCGTACTTTGTAGCAGGTGAATTACGTCATTCGGGAGGATCCCCCACGGGTTGGAGCTGTGTTGTCTTTGGTTGCAATTGTGATGTTAGGATGTAATAGGACGCATTGGGGCAGTCGCAGGTAAGATCTGTTACCTTACCTTACTTGACGCCCTCACTTGCAGGCGTGACGGTTAGGCGGCCATCAAATACAGTTGTAGTTCGTTACCCGGTTGTTGGCGCGCGCATGCTCGCACAGTGAGGGGCCGTAAAGAGGGCCCCAAGGAACAACAAACACAGTAATGTGATATGGCACGGAAATCCGTGACACTGAAACCAAATTGCCATGTGATGCATTAGATAGCCGTTTGGTTTATGGCCTTTAGGGCGTGGATACGATTGGGCTGATTCCTGCTCATGCAGCCTACTAATTGGGCTACTAATGCTAATACTATGATCGCCGCTGTACAGCGCACCATATTTCTCTTGCAACTGCGAGTTTATAAAGGAATGAAAAAACTTGGATATTGAAACCTATTTACAGGTAACCTTAAATGTAACCTCGAAACCTCTAACATCTACATGATGCGCCGGCGTTGATGGCTATGGAACTCCTCCCACTCCGATTCCCGGGGTATCCGTACCACCGCGCGCGCGTCCGCACTTAACGGTCGTGCATGTCGTCGTTGTTTGGACAGAACAGTTCCAGTAAGAACTCGCGGCGCCAGAACCGCGTTCTTTGTGCAACGTGGTTTTGTGAGGCGGCAAGCTGCTGGCACAAAGACAAGTGCTGCTGATTGCTTAGCGCCGCGTTATGGTGAGCTGTATGTGAGGGGAGAAGGCCCAAGGGAAGGGGGTTGTTTCTTGCGGCATGGCAGCTGCCGCCTCTAAAGTAACTCGGTACCCCTCTATAATCCAGAGGGAAACAGGTAAATGTCCCACTGCTGGGAAAAATGTACAGTAGCCGGTTGTGAAATGCGGCGGCGAAGGTCTGCGGAGACAGGCGAAAACTAGCACGCCTGCCGTGGTGCCTCTTGAAGGTTAGCGAGCAGAACAGCCGACATTTGACGAGGTATTTCGTAGGTTAGGAAGGTAAGGACTAGGCGTTTTCCAGTTAGGCGGGAGTGGGAACTGCGGAGCAAGGCTGAACGCTCGCACGTGGTGATAATGCTCCATGTCCAAAAGGCAAGAGCTTCAATAATAAATCCAAGCAAACGATATCACAGTATATGCTAGCACACACCCAACTTCTTCCAAAAGTCTGGCGACGAGTGAACTAAAACCGTACTAACCAAAAATGCCCGGTTTATCCTATGGTACCTATGTATAACTTCTTTCTCTTTAATTAACGAGGAAGTTACACAACAAAGTTAATCACCGAAGAAGTTACATAACATAATTATTGTCAAGTCGGCCCTTGCTGCCTTGCAGGGGCCATGCCTAAACGCTTCAGTAGCCAGTTACTTCAAGCAGGTTCATCAAAATTAGCAATGGTGTTATGACCCTTTTCCTTGATGCAAAATTTGCTTATCATTGGGCCTACGACTTTCCGTCTTCGCGGATCCGGATGATGGACATTTGCCTGGATGAGGAAACCTAGAGAAAAAGAGCGTGACGAGTTAATGGTAAGTAATCTACTTGCAACTACTAGAAGGTCTTGCATTTTACTTTCTCAGCGCTGCCAGCCACCGACGTGACAACATCTCATCGCCAAAACGGGACGCAGAGCAGGCTCCTGCCGGAGCCGCCCACACGCCTGAAAGCGGAGGAAGTATTATCTCTTGCACGTGAAACGTGCATTCGTAACGTGACATGCTTCCGCGACGCTCGGTTTGCCTTTTCCCGGGTTCAGCACCAACTGCAGTCTCCTCTCATAGTGCAATACGGTGACGGTTTCTTTGGCGTGCCCGAAGACGACGAAAGTGAAGACGACGAATCCAGCAACTCAGCGACGCGGCCGCGTCGCTCCCCGGCCTTCACGTCCGCGGATAATCCCCCCATCCGTCCCACCTTTTTAACTATCAACCACATGGCTCGTATCAGCCCTAATCCTCTAAGCAACAGCAACAGCAATAGCAACAACAGCAGCAGCAGCAGCAGCAGCAACTATGATGTACGGCCCATACCCGTACAATTCTACACTCCAGAGACCGCGGCCCTGGCCTCCATGCAGCTGCCCGCCACCGCCACCCTCGCGCGCCCCGCCTCCCCCACACCACCCGTCAACGGGCACGACTGGCGCTCCGCCAGCACACTGACCGCCGCCACTCGCCGCCGTCAATCTGGACCGGACTGCCAGGCCTTCCGCGACGCCGCCGCCGCCGCCGCGGCCGCCGCCGCCGCCGCCCTCCAACCAGACGTCGATACAAGTGCTCCTGCAGCGTCGTCGCAGCCTGCTAAGGATATAGGCTGTGAGAGCTGGGTCCAGCGGGCCGCGTGTCTCACCACAGAGCAGGCACAGGGAGGCAAAGCGCGTTTAGGCCGAGGCCACTTGCTACACCTGATGTACAACAACGCCGGGCCGTCAGCCGTCGTGGCCGCTACCATTGGTGCCGTACCAACACAGACACCGGAGCCAGAGCCGCGGGGACCTAAAGGACCCATCGTCCCTAGCTTTTTGTACGGCAAGGACAAGGGGACGGGGTTTGGCGGCGGTGGCACGCGGGCGCATTTCCCCGTGACGGGGGATGTTGACGTTTCTGAAGTGCGAGCAGTAGCAGCAGAAGCAGCAGTAGGAGTAGCATTAACAGGAAGGGCAGGGGGAGGGGGCGAGAATCCGCAGCCAACTGCAGAACATGGAGGCGACGGCGGCGGCGGCACGGGTGGTGGTGGTAACGGCAGCGGCTGCAACGGCAACGGCAATAGCGGTATTGCCCCTGGCGCCGGCGCCGGCAGCTGCAGTAGCACCTCCAGCCTCTTCGCGCCGTCGTCGCCGTCGGGCAGCGCAAACACCCTGACCTTCACTGACATGCGCAGTAGCACCGCCGCCGCCGCCGCCGCTGTTGCCACCACAGCAACGAGCGTCAGCAGCTGCAGCGGCGTCGGCGCAGGTGACGGCGGCGGCAGCAGCTTTGGCGGCGACGGCGCCGCTACTGGAGAGTGGCCGATGGCGGCTACTCGCCACAACAGTGGCGCCACTGCCGCCGCCGCCGCCAGCGGCCTTTCGCGGCCGCCTCCAGCCGCCGCAATTCTGTCCACCGTTGCCGGCACGCCGCTGCGCCCCACTGCCCGGGCCCATGCTCGGCCGTCCATCTCCCCATTATCGCTCCCGGGGGGGTCCTCTCCGGTGTCCTCCCCTCGAGCCGCAAACAGCTCACCCTGCGGAAGGCTAAGCAGTCCGGGATCTGCAGGTTTCTCCGCAGCGGCACCGGCGGCGCTGACGATGCGCGATGTACGGAAAGCAGCGTCGTGTGCCGTACATGGACCTTTATCGGCGGCGACAACTGCGGTGCACCTCTCCCGCAGCGGCGGCAGCGCCGCAGCCGCCGCAGCGGATCGGTTCTCTAGGGTTGAATGTGCCGGTTGGCCGCCGTCACCGTCGCCGTCACCGTCGGCGTTGACGTCGCCGCTGCAGCTGGCACTGTCACCCTCGCTTAGCAGTCCGCCGACATCGCCAATCGTGCAGCAGCTGATGCGTCCCAGCTCCGGGACCACAACCCCGTCGCCGCCGCCGCCACCCTCGCAACAACAGCAGCCGCAGCAGCAGCAGCCGCAGCAGCCGGACGTCTTAGAGTTGCGGTCTTGCCTGGACAGCCCCAACGGATGTCAGGCCTCGGTCATATCCGTGCCATTAGTCGAGTTGAGCACACGCAGGGCGCTGCCTCTAAGTAACAAAGCCAAGCAGGGGTCACATTCGCCGCTACAGCCGCCGCAACAGCCGCCGCTGCTGCAGCTACAGCAACAGCAGCCGCAAGGCGTCGTGGACGAAATGCCCCCGCGACTGGCCGGCAGCCGCCGCTCCTATGCCGGCGGTGGTGGCGCGTGTTACACTGTCGTACGGCCGGGCAGCTCTTCGAAGCGCGGGAGTCCGTACACTACCTCATTTGGCAACGGTGGTACCGCATTTGATTTGCAGGTACGTGTACGGCAGGTGGTATGGATCTAGGATGGCCCCCCTTCCCCCGTGCCCTGCCAAGCAAGCCCTCGAGAGGTCGGGGGGGTTTTGCGTCCCAAAGGCGGTGACTTGGGTGCTCCATGACGTCAAGAGGGGTGCCGCAGAGCTGGCGACTGACGTTCGGTTTGTTTGCGACCCGTATCCCGGGGTTCATTTTTTATGGCTCTGGGTGCCCTTAAGATTTAAGGAGTGTTATCTTCTAAGAAGTGCCGTTGGGCAGGGGGGGTGACTTTGGTTGTCGGGTGCTGTCCGAGAGTTGTGGTACGGGGGGCCTCAAGGCCGTACTAGGCATACCTCTTAGGGCCTTATGCGGCCAGTACTGCAGTACAGTGTTTTCGGGTTATTGTCATGCGGAGAGCATCAACCGGTGATCCATTTGGATGCCCCATCCACTGTCACCATCCAATGTTCATTCCATATGAATTGAAGACGCGTGTATGTGCCGTGCCGGCCGTGGCGCTGCCGGTTTTGTTGCCCGGCACACTCTCCCCTCTTTTCCCCTAAGGAGTCGACTCGCTCCGGAACCTGTCGCTCAGCCGCGGTGGAGGGTTTGTCCGCCTCGGAGGTCGAGGCTGGCGTCGGCGTCGGCGGTCCGGGGTTAGTGCCGAGTGGCGGCACTCGGAGCTCGTCCGCTTCAGGGCATGGAGGAGGAGGCAGTGCGAGCTCTCCGCAATCTTATAACCTCACCAAGCCTGCAAGTGCCCACGGCGGCGGCGGCGGTGCCGCCGCCGCCGCCGCCGCTCCCTTACTCCAGGAGCCTCGTAAGGCGGCGGCGGTCGCAGCGGCTGCGGTGCATCAGCATCAGCATCAGCTGCCCGCCCCGCTTTCCCAACATTCCTCAATATCTTGGCCATCGTCGCCGGTGACGCCGCCGGCAGTGTCGTCACAGTATGGTAGCGGAAATGCTGTTGCAGATCGCCGACAGTGCCTATTAGCGGCCCCGTCTCGCAGCGCCTGGACCTCCTCACCGGCTGCCGTACGCAGCGATGCGACAACGTACCTGGACTCGAAGCTTGGTGCCGCCGGCGGCGGCGCCTCTGCCGCCGCTGCGGCATCCAGCGCGTCGCCGCGGCCACCTTTCGGGGCGTCGCGATCTGCGGCAAGGACGCCAGTTCGCGCACACGCACCTAAACGCGGCGGCGGAGTACCGCAGCAGCCACAGCTCACACAGTCATCGCCATCGCCGTCGTCGTCGTCGGCAGCGGCGGTGCCATCCACGACAACGGTGCAGACGCCCGCCCGGCGGCTGTCCGGTGGCGAGGCCGTTCCAGAGCCCGAAGGCATCTGGCCGTCGCACATGCCGACGCAATGTACGACCGCCGCGGCGACGGCGGTGCTGCTGTCTGCCGCCGCCGCTGCCGGCAGGTACACGACCGCTGGAAGTGATTCCGAGCCTGCTCGAGCTCTGCCGTCGGCGGCGGCGGCACAGCCAGCGGGGTCCGCGACCCCAGCACCATCGGCGTTTGGGCGATACCTGGCCGGAACGGACTTTGGCTCATGCCATACATCGGGCGCGTGTTCATGTTCAGTCAGTCATAGCGCCATGAGGACAGATCTTCCCGCCACGTCCTACCTCATCAACAAGCTACGTATTCGGGGCGGCGGTGTCATACCGGGGCGTGGAAGCAATGGCGGCGGCGGCGGCCGGGGTGAGAGCGAAACGGGATCGGGTGCGGCTGGAGATGCCGAGGACGCGGAGGAGGACGGCGTCGTGGGCCGGCTGTTTAGGGAGCTCCAGGAAGTACGGCAAAGAGCGGAGGGCGGAAGGATCTGCAGGGGCGGGGGATTGTAGCATGCGAGAGGTTGTGCCGTACAGGGTACGAAGTACGGAAGTAGCACGAGAGGACCGTCGCTGCAGGCTGTCGTAATTGCTTGCCACACCACGCACCGTGATATTCGTGAAACCAGCTCCGTGTGCCCACCTCGGGGTTGGCCACTATCCGCGTCATTGTGTTGTTTTCATGTCTATGCCGAATGGCTGTAGGGAAAGAGATTTGGATTGTCGAGTTGCTTACGTGTTCGGAGCTGATGGTTATGGCGCCTCTTTATCAGGTCTATTTCCGGTCTATTCTTCATCCTTGTACAGCTTCACTCGCCCGGCGACGCGTCCTCCGTCACGTAAAACTTTCTTCCATAATTGTACGGAATCGTACGGAGTACGGAAAAGGATATCCTTTCTTCGTTTATCTTCATTTACGTAAGCCACTGTGCACCTTGTGCCCCTCTCTCTCTCATTAGCTGTACGGATTCTGTCGGGCTGTTCTCGAAATGGCGGCGGTCGTGAAGTGGCAAAGGGGGCGGGGGGGAAGAGGTGGATTGCGGCTGGAGGCGCTCTGGGACGCGTGCTGCTCTGGCTGAATGGGCACTGAGACGATGAAAGGAGGTTATTTGGTTCCGACACGATGTTCCAGAGACCGTGGGTAGCTGTGTGTAGGCCTCCGCTGTTTAGGCCCCCGCGGTGTGCGCCACCGTTGGCCGCCACGGTTGGGAAGCCCCAGGGATGGCCGCGGATATGATAGGCTGTGATGGCAGCTGCGGGGTACACAATTCAAAGGTTAGGAGGAGATGTGGGAAATGACATAGCGACGTGACATACATAGCTACACGTATGTGCCCGCACGTTGGTACGGCGTATTGGTTGATTATCCGCCTTGTAATCTTCTTCTTTTACATTGCGGGACATGAGAGAGTGATGAGGGCGGCTGAAAGACCGGTCCTGGCAGCGTGGGCTAGATCGGGTCACAAGCCTGCGTTCCTCCGCAATCCCCTGACGCGGGTAGGCCGGTATTTTGCAGGTCCATGCGGAGACGCTGCTTCCCCGACTGGATTGCCCTTACGTTGCTGAGGTTGTTGCTTGCCCTTTTGGTATTTGTAGTCGTAGTCCAATGTTCTTATAATGACTCCCAAGGCCTGCCTGGCCTCGGAAGGCAATCCTTTGGCCGACGCATGGAAGTGTGATATACCTTATACATTACTCAGTTTACAATCCAGACAAGGTTCACATCCTGCGCAATTGCCTGCTGCGCACGTAATACTGCAGGACGGGCTCAGGCAACAGGGAGATTTCGTTTAGCATTCCATTCTGCTGTCGCTGTTGGTGAGCTAGCCATGATTGCCTTGCCAGCATCGCCCATCGTTGATTAGAGTTAATAGTGTACCGAAGATAGTGTTCGCTCAAATAGAAACACCCTGTTACCCTTGAATTGACGACTACGTATGAAGGATTGCCAATTATTGTTGCTCCAAAACGTTAGAGATCTGCTGGCAGATCCAATCAGCCAAATAATTGAATTGAATTCTGTACGACGTTTTCCGTATTATCGTCCAAGAGCTAGATGGCATGCAAACTAGCCTTCTTTCCCAAGCGAAGTCGGCGATGACCGCAGTTTCCTGATAGGCATGATGCAAGTGTCTCTTTAGGGCGGCTTCGTAGTCACGCCAAACAGGCTTTGGATCGGTGTGCACTAATTTTCAGTGGCATTTAAGAACTTGACGATATTAATATAAGCTTAAAATGTTGAAGCCGTCATACTGAACTTGCGAACCTTACTAAAGCTTGTCAAATCTTACAAATGTTGGTTGCCGTAGCATTTGCCCCTCGCCCCCCTAGAGGGCGCGTACGGAAAATGCTCCTGTCCCGCACGAAAAGCGGTTTAGAGTGAAAATGTTCACACCATATTAATAACTAGTTAAGTACTGGCGTTGATACACGCTATAGAGATGCACGTATCCAAACAATTTGCCAGCTGAACACCATGAAAACCCTTGCCCTTGGTCGGCTACAAATTAAGGCAGACCATCCCACAAATACTAAGAGCGCAGATAACCATGAGGCAGCCAAGGACGAGCTTCTGGTAAGACTCCTTGCTGCACGTGCGACTGTGAGTTACTGCCGAGTTTCTTCGCCAAGCACGTTATCCACAAACTGAGTCCCACAAAGTATTGGCATACATATCAGTCTCAGCCAATGATGCTTTTGTCATCGTCCATATGACCTAACGTGCCTTGCCATGCCAAAACCGATGCACAGGCAAGACTCCTGCCGGAGCAACAGCCGCCTCCACCAAGCGCAGAAGATGTCCTCACAAATGCGCGTGAAATGTGTTGCCGGAGTCTGGCATTCGTCACTCAACAGTCGTTTTGCCGGCGTCCAATGCATAAACCATCCATGATTCGAGTCCAATACGGTCGCGACTCCGGCACCGGCGACCAAGGCGCGGATAGAACCAACAAACTCTTAGATTCGGATGCCAACGGGTCTGTCAACCCAACCCACCATCAAAGCTTTTCCACCATTACCGTTCACCCGCCACCTCCAGCGCGCTCGCTGACCCGCAGCTCAACCAGCGCCTCCATCCCAACCATTTACATCGACGACGTGTCCGTGGACGCATCACAAGAGCCACACAGTTCCCCATCCCAAGCGGATAGCCCTGTGAGAACGCCGCCCTCGAGACTCTACCAGCCCCGTTTTGGATCTCGGGGCTCGGGCTATCAAGGCTTTTCTACGGAGCAAAGCACCCTTGGTTCCAGTTCCCCCACCACGTCCCGAGCCCCCAACTCCCCTGCCGCCGCAGCAACAACTCCTAACACCCCCACCATGAGCCCTCGGCCCAACGCAATGGCCGGTTGGCTACAGCTCGCGGGCTACGGAACCAGCCCCCAGGGGCTCCCCGGCAAGTTGCCCGCCTTGCGTGCATGTGACGTCAGCAGCGGCGGTGCCGCCGCGGCGGAGGTTTGCTACAGCCCTCGTACAGTGGGCTCTGGAACTGATGTAGGCGATGACGGCGAGGATGACGGCAGTGGGGACGATGACGGTGGCCGCCGTGAAGGTGGTGGAAAGGATGATGGTGATGGCGTGGAGGACGGTGGTAGCAGCCCGCTGTCGCCGGACTGTCTGCCTAAGCCGCCGGGAATAGAACGGGCCCTGTCGAGCCTAAGGCCGCAATCGCCACGCACGCCGCGTCTGCGGCGCCTGTGCTTGAGGTCCCTGGAAGATGTCTCCGACTTGAGTCCCGTTCGCATGGAATGCCGTCTAGCTGCCGCCGGGCAATCGGTCGACAGCGGTGTTGCCAGCGGCGCCGGTGGCGCCGCTGCCAATTTGATGTTCGTCAGTACCGGCGGCAACACCGTCGACGCGAATGGCGATGCCGACGGCGACAGCCTTCTTAGCGACTGGCTGTTGTCCTCACCTACCGGCGGCAGCTGTCCAGGTGCAGCTGTTCAAGCTGGGTCACACGCGACCCCCCCACAAGGTTCACCTCTAAGACCAACTCCACGCACACCTTCTAGGACTGCTCTTGCACCAGTGATACCGGCCAAGGTGAAATGGAATGCTGCGGCGCATGCTGCCCGATCCGGCCTTGCCGCCTCTGGCGGCCTACAACCGCCGCCCGCCCCACCATCAGCGGGATTACAACAACAACAACAACAACAACAACATCAACAACAACAACAACAACAACAACAACAACAACAACAACAGAAGCAGCAGCAGCAGCACTGCCAGCAAGGCCCTACCATCGCCGCCGCTATGAGAAACGCCTCCCCTCCGGATGCGACGAGGCACATACGAAAGTCGATGTCGACGTTCTCGTCCTCCGTTTGGTCGACGGGAGCTGCTCGCAGTAGCTTGGACACCAGGGGGGCCGCGGCGCCACCCGCGGCGCATGCAATCCCATCGCCGCCGCCGCCGCCGCCGTCGTTGTCCTCCTCCTCAGTACCGATGACGTTGCTAGCGCACCTGGTGTCGACGGCGGACCGGCCCCCCTGGAAGCTCACCCGGGCAGATAACTCCCTGCACCGCCCGCCAGACGACGCGATGGATTTCATTGTACGACACGCTTCGCCGCGCAAGGTTCAAGGATGGGGTAGGGGACCAGGCAATCAGCTGATGGGTGCCAGCCGCACCTTTGGCGGTGCCGGCGGCGGCCGGGGGTTTAGCGGCAGCGGCGGCGGCGGCGCGCATGGCTTGGCTTCGGAGCGGAGCTTGTGCAGTTGGTCACAGGGCGGCGGTGGTACGAATGACATGGCGGCTGCCGTACAGGATCACACGGGCGGCAATTTGGTGGGCGCCTTTGGCGCCCTCAGCCCGAGCGGATACCGTCGTTCGGGAGCGCTCAACACCTTGTCGGCAGCGGCGAGCAGCCCTACTGGGCAGCAGGTAGAAGAGAGTCGGCTGGTTTTCACGGGCACGGGAACGTAAGCGAGGCCCTCGCATTGCAGACTGTGCACAGCTATCCACTTTTGGATGTTTTTGCCCCACCCCCCCATGGCTTTTGGTACTACGGGGTCGGGGCTTTCCTTCAAAGCTGCCTAATGACAGCCCACCTTGCAAGACTGCAATGGCTTAAGCCTGGGTGCATTGACTACCATCAATCTGCTACATCTGCATTCCCCAGCTAGCGCCTGGGGTCCGTAGCTACCTGCCCCGTTTCCGGACTCTCCCGCGTCCGACCCGCCGCTCCTCCCATAAGCACATACACGCACAGTTCAATGAAACACACATACATACCCCCGCTGGGCTTTAGGTCATTTAGGGTTTTTAACTAGGGTTAAAAACCTAAACCCAAATCCTAAAACCCTAAAACCCTAAAACCCACGTACACACGCATAACCCCCTGATGCCCGCGAATACTCGCAGATTTCCTCCGCCGGCACCTCGCCCGCCGGCAGCCCCAGGGCGCCGTCTGGTCCCGAGCCACCTCCGGGTACCGTCCACAGCCCCCACAGCCACGTCCGCTTCCGGAAGCATCAACAACTAAAACAGCAGCTACAGCAACAGCAGGAATTACTGCCAACCACAGCCACAGATGCCCACACCCATATCCACCTCTCCCAGTCGATCTTTACGGATGATTTGGTGGGGAGTCCCTACACAGCTGGGCTTGATGCTGATGCCGTACGCCGTCCGAGCGCCAGTTGCAGCGGTGCTATGTCCAGTGCGGGGGCTGTGGGGGCTGCGGGGGCTGGTGGTTTGTTGGATACAAGCGCCGCCTGCGTTCCGTTATCTCCGGACGCCCCGTCCAAGCGCGCACTGAGCCAGTCCTCCGCCGCTTGGGATCACCTCCGCTTGGCGACGCCTGTTGGTACGGCATTCGGGGACGGCGGCGACAGCGGCGGCGCAGCACAGCTGCAGCATTTGCACGCGGCGCTCAATGCAGGTGACGGCACGGCATCTACGCGTCCGAACCGTCCGAACTACCTTGAGGACCAACAGCTGCTGCAAAGCTTCAGCACAGGTGGGTGCGAGAGAGGCGGATGTTTGCCCCTTCTTAATAAGGGCAGTGAGGGGGATGGCGGCGTACTGGCTAGTGGCTGTAGCAAAGGCAGAAGCAGTAATAGCAGTAATTGCACGACAACGGAGAGGTCAGGTAACGGTACAGGTGTACGACAAGGTAGCAGCACGGGCAATAATGGTGGGCGCGACGAGGCGGAGCGCGGGGAGAGCCTCATGGCGAGGCTGTTCAGAACGCTGAATGAGTTGAAGCGGATGGAGAGTTCGCGTGATGATGATTAGCGACGTCGGCCGTGATTGCGCACTTGTGTACACCGTGATGGTGTTCGATGTTATTGGCATAGGGGCTTCCAATGTGCCTTTATTTGACATTTTTGGTGGTTTGATATTAAGCTTTCATGGTTTGGTAATTGTTATTTTAAGGATACGATTGGCGGAGATTTTATGCATTTACGGAACCTTGTACGACTCTGTCCCGTGTACGACTATGTGTACGGCACTACTGATGTACGGCATGTAAGTTAACTCTTCTGAGTACAGAACGTTTTATTGCTGCTAATTTATCCGCCGCAGCGGTAGCACCGGCAGTGGGGATGAGCTGTTGTTGAGGGGCTGAGGCGCACGGCTGATCTTGCGAGCGAGTATGTTGACGGCGGTTCGTGGCAAAAACTTTTTTAGTTGAGTGTTGGGCGGTATTGTCTGGTGGCTCCGAGCAAACAACGGCCAGGAGGACTTGCACTCTGGTTTGAGTTTTCAAATATTCGAGTTTTCGAAGTATTGCCTGTTTTGGCAGATCAGATTAGCCGGCCTGTGGGCTTCTTGGGAATCATAACACGTGTCTCGATCACTTGGACGGCCTCGTGGATGCCTCGTGAATGCATTTATGGTCCTTGCATGCCCCGTACCAACTGACTTATACTTTTCGGATTACGTTTCATTTCGTACCTTGATATGGTTGCGTACAGCTGGTGCGCTATTTAGGCTTTCGTTTTTAAAGCAACCATACAGGGGCAATTGATGTTGGCAATTTGCAAGACCAACAGATCTGGTTGTTTAGACGAGGTAGTTTACGATAGTTTCTGATGATTAGGTTTATCTTGTTTATGGTCATTTTCAATGTCCACGAGTGTTTATTTTTATGATTTATGCATATGTCGCCGAGTAGGCGTGATGTTTCAGTGGACAGCCGCAGCCAAACACATGGACAGCACCCGCATGGACAGCCGCAGCCGAACACATGACGTACCTAATAAGATGTCGACATCTGCCAAGATAGATATGCTGAGCGAGGTAGGTGGTGGCCCACGGGGCCCTCAATAAGGGCTGCTAAGCACGTCGGAGGCGAGTCCGTGCTGGCTCCTCACGAGCGCACGATTTCGCTTTTTGTCCTGTAACATTCTCGTCACATTTCTACTCTTTCCCAACCCGCTGTGATAGGTAATAAGAGTCCTATCCAGGGGTAGCCTTGAGGCGTTCTGGCAACATCCCACATGATGACGTGGCTATCTGCAGCCCTTTCCTCTCCGTCCTGTCTTCGTTCATCTTAAATCGTTGCGCGACTCTTTCGCGCGATTCGGCCTACTCAAGCACGCACTCGTCCTTTGGGCTATTTCCCTACGGAACTTAAAGGCTGCTGATGCCGTTTGACCGCTAGGGTGCTGGCGCAGGGTGCTGACGTGTAAGATAGCTACTAGGCGTGGACCGGTAGTTTGTAAGTGAAGTTGCAATTAGCGTTCGTAGATCGCTTGATTCGGAAATTCCAACTGGATTGTTGGGAAGTGCTCGGTATTCGTCAAGCGGGTGTCTCTGAGCTTTCTTCTCGACGTCTGCTTACTTCGCAAGCTTGCTTGTCCTGTTGGCTGGGCGCGTGCTTCATTTGGGGTGAAGCCAGGATGGGCATAATGGCATCAAATGCTCGTACTATGCTTTTGTATTGATTCCAGCATGGAAGCGTAAACGGCCTTATTATAACCAGCTGGAAGCTGTACTGATAAGCGTCGGTCCTGTGCTGCATGCAGCTTGCAGCAGGGCCTGCAGCGTCATCATCATGCTCTGGAAAAGCTGCGCGGCTGCCAGCGCACGTCACTAGTACTGCTACAAAAACGGGCCTGAAGGGTCTGCTGGCTCGATGCAACACACCTTGCACCATTTTACCATAATCGGACGCACAGCAGTCAACTTGGGATTGCAGCAGCAGCCCCTTACTTGCATCTGCAGCAAAGCAACGGATCGCTGACTTCTTTGTTGTACCTGGTTGTACTGCTCACTACAAACAAAGGGTTGCACTTTTGCACGACTTAAGTTTGCTTTGCGCCTTACTAATGAGAGGTGCGTTTTACAACTGACAACGAACAGACACTCATCAGCATAAGGCTCTTGCCAATAAACTCAAGACCTTTACAACTAGCGCTGTGAAATGTACTGCTGCACCAACTTATTGTTGTTGTAAGACCTGATAAAGGACAGCTGTAACTGTAGGTTGGTGCAGCTGTTCTATATCATGGTGATGCAGGTCAGGATATATACCAATCAGTAAGGCTTGCATCTTCGGTGACGGTTACGCGATGCTTACAATCTTCGGTCCCGTCTTGTCAGGCGGTTGCGTTTCCCGTTGCATCTGGTTACCTTTGGTTGTCGAGGTTTCACTTCCTGAAAGCGACAGCTTGGCGGACGAGACAGATAATCCTGAAGACATTTTTGAAATAAAGGATGGCCCAATTAGCGCGACGCGCGGTGGAATGAGCGACATTCGGCAGCGGCCTCCGAGTCATCGTTGAATAGCTTTACCAGTGAGTTTTTTAATTTCCGTTTACCGAAGTACTTAAGTTTTCCAAGGTTTTATTGCTCTATAGAAAAGAAACAAAATTTTTGTATGGGACAAACGACATGGAACATGTGGCCGTACTGCCCAGTTACAGAGCAGAACAATGAGAAGTCTGACAGGGTTATGACTCTGAGCCTGAAGCGTAGTTAACTCCGACCGCTATTCCGCATGTTAAGTACAGACGTCGGTTGCAGATATGAGGCCGGCTCCACCGTAACGTTAAATCATTCAACTACCGCTGGTACCCCAGCTTCTTCGCTACCCTTTGTGTGTATACACAAAGACCAGCTTACTTAGCCATTGTTTTAAGATATAACTAGCCATATCTTTGAATAAATTGAACTTTTTCTGCATCTGCAAGAAGTCATTTTCTGTGTCGCGTCGGAACACGACGGGATGGTGCTACGCATGGCGCCGGCACAGGTACGGTATCTCAATCCGCAGAGATGATAATAGCATGGCTTTTTAAGATGCTTGGTTGTTGTCTATGCGCCCCCGAGGAGTAAGGCTTCGCTTTTGCGTCGTCAGCTCCGACTGTATGCCAACGATGCGTTGGCTTCCAAGAAGGTGATGGATTGTGAAATTTGCTTCCTATCTAACCTGATTGTGCAGTCGCAGGATTTGCTGCTTTATGAGCACGGCTCGACACACCAGAGCCCAGAAGACGTGCTCAGGTAAGTGGCTTACGTAGCTCCCGAATGATTTGGTTGAATATCAATTTTATTTCACTCTATAATGGCTGCGGGTATTCTGCACGGTCTGTCAGTCGCTGACGGTTGCGGCCAAGTTACTTTTTGTCTTTTGCACGTTGCGGCACGTAGCTTAATGAATAGAAAGATGCAACACGTAAAGATATACCTTGTATGGTTCTATAACTGAAGCTATTGATGATGGTGCGTGCCTTTGGACATCTTCAAACCCTCGGCCCATACAACAAACACCCTACGGTTCGGCTTCTGAGAGCTGTCTTACCTCCCCTTACAAAATCTCCCGGCACGTGGGGAGCGGCATGCAGGCAGGCGCGTATCACTCACTTTAGCCACGTGGCCTCTCTGCATAGCTCTTCCATCACGAACGGCACCACTGTCAAGCCGTCCATGGCACGCGTCCAGTACGAGATCGGTAAAGACCTGCCGTTCGGCTACACGTACTTGGCCTCCGGCTGCTCGGAGCCCCTATCGCAACCCAAGCTCGGAGGCATCACGGTGAAATCCATTCCCCGCTTCGGCACAGTAATAATGGCAGCTTCGGCAGGGGTGGCTGCAGTCGAAACTGATGCCCCTGCAGCAGGTACCCTGGCCTCGACATCAGAGATGGTGTCAGTCGCCGCCTGCACCACCAACGCCACAAACAGCCCCCGGTTCAGCGGAAGCTGCGACAGCCACGGCGGCCATGTCGTACCGCTCGGTCCAGGCACAGACGCTAGGCCTACAAACATCAGCTCCTATCACTCGCGCGAGCGTGATGCAATCACAGATGATGCCATCGCGGCCAACAATACTGTCCACAAAGACGAGGACGGCGTTGACGACAGTGCCATGGAAGGTTATGGTGTGATGGAAGTTGAAGTGGCACCGGTGCCGAAGGCTGGCTTCCTCACTGCCAGCCGCCGCTCCACCGCTAGCGTCTCGCAAGCAGGCGGGGGCCCGACAGAAGCGACAGCGGCAGCAGCAGCCATGCACGCGGCCACTGCACGGAACTGCTTTCGCCGGATGTCCGTAGCAGATGACACAGGAATATTGCCGTACTCGCTGGTTCCATCCGATAGCACCGGCGGGACCACTTCCGCGTGCTCGCCGAGCGGTGGATCCTTCAGCGGTCATGGCCTGAGCAACTACCGAGGTGTACATGGCCTGCATGCGGGCTCGCATGTCTTCACAGCTGTCCTTGCTGCCCAGCCCGCTGGCGGCGGTTTTGTCGGCAGCGGCGGGGGCAAAGGTGACAGCGGAAGTGATACTATTGTTGCTGCTGCTTCAGCTGGCCGGGACCGTATCACGTCTCAGCTGCAGTACTCCGCTAGCGACTCTTGCGCTGCCGAAGCACTGGATGTGACGTGCTTGGCCTCTGCTGCCGCATGGGCGCAGCGATTGCATATGCCGGAGCTTCAGGATCCTGGTCCTGGCCCCGGTCCTGATGTTAGTCGCGGTGCCGGGGAGGGGCTGCCGGCTGCACACAGCAACGGTGTTGGGGTTGGCAATACCCGGCCGACGTGCCCATCGATGACTCGCAGACAATGCCCACCACAGGAGGTGGCACTGAACGGTTACGGTGGCGGCAACGATGCCACGGAAAACCCGCGGGTTACGGCAACCAATGTCGGGGGCAACAGCTCTGGCGGCAGTGGATTTGCACCGGGGATGGCCCCACACTCATCCTGTGGCCAGCAGTGCCGACAGAACCTGCAGCAGACTCCTCAGCAGGCGGCCTGCCTGCTAGCTGATGACAGCTGCGGCGTCGGTAACAGCTCTGGCGGCGGGCAAGCCCTTCGGCCCACTCCGCCAAATTTATCATTGTCCTTGCATTGCCTCCCCCGTCATCTGCCTCCGGGAGGCGTTGGAGGACCGGCAATGTCGTACTTTCCCAACGGCCCTAACTCCGCGCCGGCTGCTCCCGGCAGGGCTGCAGGTCTGTACGGCATGTCGCAGGAAGGCGGAAGCGGTCATGTCACTTTCGGATCTGTCGGATTCCTGCATGTAGTACAGGAGCCCCCACCAACCGCGGCAGCTCAGACGCAGCTGTCCCGCATGTCATGCCGACGGCCTGGACAGGCACCCGCAGCTGCTGCCGCCGATGCTGCCGAGCGACCGCCAAGCAGTCCCGCCGCCGGATTGGCTGCTCTCCTGGAGATAGTGGCACCGGTGCCGCCGGAGAGCTTACCCTTGGGCCGGCGTATCGATGATACGCACAGCGCAGGTCACCTTGGTGCATCACTGTTGACGCGTGATAACACGCCGCCGACGCCGCTGCCTGTTCGTGCAACCGAGGAGGCAATACGCAGCGACCACGGTAACAATGACGGCGACGATGGCGGCGACAGCGCCACGACGAGCAACAAGTACCTGAGCCCTCTCGGAGACCAGGAGGGCGGCGGCGCGGCAGGCGGCAGCGGCGGCGGCGGCGGCGCTTGTAGTGAGCTTGCATCACCGGTGGATGTGGTGTCCGAGGACGTGCCCGTGTCGGGAGCTTTGGGTGGGACTGCGGCCGCCGTCGGCACGGTGAGCTGTGACAAGTGCTCCGCAACGGTGTTTATCCTGACTTGTAGGCTCGAAAGATGGAGCTTTGTGAGGTAAAGATTGAGGGATGTATATCTGTACCTGTACCTGTATCTGTCTCAATGTTAAGGGAATGCAGAGCGGATATCAAGTCGAAGGGACAGCGGGTTTTGGAAGTGGCTGTGTGGGGATCTGCCAGATCAACAGTGTTGGGACAAAATAGGGAACCGAGAAAATCTTCTGACTCGAATATTCCGGGTCTTATCTGTATAAGACATAATAATTAGAATTATAATTATACGAGACGATACCCGGGCCCAAATGTTGTCTCCTTTTTCTACCTCCCGACTGCTTCACCTATTATTGCAGCCAAATGTATCCCCATTCGCCCTTCCCGAGGAGCCGCTGCAGCCACCGCAGCCGCAGCCACCGCAGCCGCAGCCACCGCAGCCGCAGCCACCGCAGCTAGATATAGTTTCTCCTCCTCACCCATGCCCGCCTCCGATGCTGCTACAGCCAACCACGAGCGCCAACGGCTGCGGCGGCAGCGGCAGCTGCACAGGCAGCGCGCAGCCAGTCATATTCCACTCCTCCAGATCAATACGCACTTCTCTGGACTTAGCAGCCCGACCGTCCTCCTTTCTGGGCCCGCCGCTCCGCCTTGCGGTGCCGATGGGAACAGCGGCGGCTGCAGCAGCAACAGCAACAGCAGCAGCAGCAGCAGCAGCAGCAGCAGCAGCAGCAGCAGCGGGACCGTCGCGGCGGTCATCGCCGTGTGTGCACATGCCTTACAGCTACGGCAATTGCACATCATCACAGCCTGCCAGCCCGACCTCCTCAGCGCAGGTCGCGCACAATAAGGTTGTCCCCTTGCAAGCCCCTGCCCAGACGCAACTACCACTGCCGCACCCGCTGCCGGCGGCGCTGTTGCCGCGACGGCGCATTGACGGCCGACAGCAGCTGCCATCAGTGGCTTCTGTTGCTGTGGCATCTTCCGTCGACTGCGATCCCCCGTTGGCTTGGACCTCCAGCTCCTCCCCGGGCTCCCCCGCATCCGCTGCTCCCGCCGCCTCTTCCACATTCCCTCAAGGCGACTCCGTCGGCACAGCAAACACCAGCAGCCAGCGGCGCTTTGCCAGCACAGGCTTTGGCCGCCTGGGGCAAACCTGGAATCAGGGCCAGCGCCACCTCACGCCATTCCCTAGCCAACCGGTTGCCAAACACAACCCTGGCAATGCTGCCGTTGCCTCTGCCGCCGCAGCCGCAGCCGCAGCCGCAGCCATGCAGCTGCGGTCGACAGGGTCCGAGGGGGGAGAGGTGGAGCCCGGCCGGGCCCTGTACTCTGCCGCAGTCGCTGGTGGCAGCGGCGGCGGCGGCAGCGGGGTCCGGGCGGGTCATCCGCTGTCGTTAGGCCGCCGCCGCCGGGGGGGGTCGTTAGACATCACTGTAGCGGAGCACCTTGATGTCATAACGCGGATGAAGGCGGCCCTCAGCTTCCTGCGCCGCGGCGACTAGCTTGCTTGGGGCCGTCTAATGTGCCGATCGCGATATTCATTCATTCACATGTACGCCGCCCGGTAGGACTCAGTTGGCTGGAGGGTCGCTGCGACGCGTGGGAATCCAACTGGCCGTCGGCCATCGGACTGCGCGTGCAGAAGCTACCCAAAAACATGGCGCTAATCAAGCCAGCTCGACTTTGCGGTGTCAAGGGACTCGCGCCTCAGTCCAAAATTCATGGCCCAGACATGCATCCGCGATAATGCTTCTAATAATGAGGTTTTGATAACCATGGGCGGCTCCCTTGCTGTGGTAAATTATCAAGGCTCACGATTACAGATTTAAACGTAATATCTGAAGGGCAGGTGCTGCCTCATTTCCACTGGCGCGCGCCGTAGCTTGGCGGGCTGACCCTTGTACGCATGAAGGTGTGCGCATTCGCACGCTTCCGCACACGGCACATGTGATACGGCGGTTTGGAGGGGGGAAGAGAGTGATGAACGGGGGGCCAGAGCACCCCGAATAAGGCAGAGGGATTAATGGAGGGGGGAGCTCACATGCATGGGGGAGCTCACAGCTGTTGCGCAGATGGAAAACAGGCTTGCATTCACGCAGGTTTCTCCCACATACAAGAGGGGACTCCGCCCGCGTGCGGATGGTCAGAAAAGGAGAAAAAAAGTGGAGTGGTGGAGACGCATCTCTCGCAGATCCCGGCGAGGGTCATGTGGGTGCAGGCAGTGATTTTTTTTTCATTTAGGGCGGGTCTCAATTTATTCCGACCTAAGTAACAAAGTTGCTAGGGTCGCCGTAATCTATTCCTTAAGTGTGGGGCGCTGGCGGGGGGCTACGCCCCCCCCAGAACCCCCCCGATAAGTTACAACTCCCCTCATAGACCAAGAGGGACGCACTGAGTTGGCGCGTTTTCGTTCATGTGCGCACTTTTCATGCACATGCATAGATAGTTCTGGCACTGTTTGTGAGCAATAAGTAAATCCGACCAAGCAAAGGCCCAAAGCAAGCAACCGCATAGCAAAATAGGGGGGTCCTTGTGAAGCAGCTGCCCGCGTTTCCAAAGCCCGTATGGTGTTGGATTGTAAGGTGCCCAAGTACGTTTGCGAGGAAGAGAATGTGGCCAGGCTGGAGAGGCAAGTGCAGTGGCATATTGGAATGTGAGATTAGCGTAAGCGAGTTACAGGGCGTTTTATTGCACGGGCGAATTTACGTGCAAATCTTTCACCGTAGCATCAGTCCTCAGTTCACTTCTTGGAACGAACATCAGCATAGGTGCAAGCCCTCTCGCTTGGAGGGATATGCAAACAAACATCCTGATAGGGGTAAACTCGCACGCTACCGAGCATTCAACCGAGCACATGCATGCTTAGTTGAATGGTGAGATGCGACCCCCCCTTCATTTCGTGCTCGGCAAGCCTGCCACCGCGTACTGGATATGTTGGCGATGTTACAGAACGCTGCAACTTAGTTTCTGTGCGCATTGCGTACGTTGCTGGACCCCGCCGACCAAAACTACACGTGCCCAACTGAAGACATTCCCGGTGGTTGTGCAGCAGCTCTTGAGGCTGTTGCTGGCTGAAATCCATCCTGAGCTGTTGCAACACGGCTAACGCGGGCACGTCCCTATGCACAGCAAATAGCTGTTCCAAGCCAGCAGCGGCGTCCATGTCACCGACCAGGCTCTAAACGTCTTATCTGTTCTTATGGAAATTTAATTAAGTTTATGTATGTTATACTTTGCGCAACTTTGTAATTTGACTTTACTCTGAACAAGGTGCTGCATACAACTGCATGTTCCCATCTGAAGACAATGCCGGTGGTTATTCAGCAGCTCTTGAGCTTGCTGCTGGCTCAAGTCCTTCCGCAGTTGCTGCAACACGGCTAACGCAGGCACGGCCGAATGCGCTGCGAAAAGCTGTTCCAAGCCCTCAGCGGCATCCATTTTACTTGCAAGGTTCTGAACGACTTTCGCGATTCTTAACTTTACCTAATTCTGAGATGTTATTATTTATTTCGTAAGAGTGTAACTTGAGTTTAGTCGGAACAATGTGCATTATGCGCTGCGCTACCGAAAGCAGGCGCCTTATGGCTTGCACACAACTGCCTCTTCGCCGAACGCTTCATCTTCCCGCGGCAGTTTCACGAGCCCAGTGTTGCAAGCTACGACGATAGCTTCCATTGCTTTCAGTTACTGCAAAGCAGCCACGCAATAGTCCAGCCTGCATGCCGCGTGCGACTATGGCCAGCAAGACAAACTACGCAATGCGCTGGCGCACCTCCAAGAAATTTATATACACTTGTACAGGCGCATTTTGCGAATCCCACGCGCGCATCCGCGCGGTGAATTTCGCTCCTGGCTTTTTTGGACGATGTACGAACGGTTTATTCGCGAAGTACGACGGCTCACATTTCTGCGAGGGGCTGCTTAATCACAGGCCGTCACCCGCCACTGCAAACCACAGCACACTTGGACTCTACCGGTTCATCATGTGTTTGTTCGACGTTCGAGTCGTTAAGCAGCCCCTCGCACAAATGTGTCCGGTCGTACTGTGCCGAATAAACAGACCGTACAAGACGGCCCAAAGACAGTCCCGAATTTTAACGCGCGGATGCGCGCGTGCGATTCGCAAAATGCGCGTGTACAAGTGTATATAAATTTTCTTGGCGAAGAAAGGCCGCGGTGCGTCAGCGCGGTGCGCAGGAGGGCATGCTGGCCACAGTCGCACGCGGCATGCAGCCCGGACAGTGGGGTGCCTGCTTTGCCGTAACTGAAAGCACAGAAAGCAAACAACGTAGCTTGCAAGACTGGGCGCTTGAAACGGCCGCGGGAAGAGGAAGCGTTTGGCGAAGCGGCAGTTTGCGCAAGCAAACGGGCGCGGATTCGGTAGCGCAATGCATACAGCCCCTTGTTCAGCGTAAAGTCAGATTACAAATTTGCGCGAAAAAATATAACATACTCAACTTAAACAACAGAACAGATAAGTCGTTCGGAACCGTGCAAGTAACATGGACGCCGTTGTTGGCATGGAACAGCTTTCGGCGCTAGGCTTCTGGACATTGGGCAGTGCTGTTGTATTTGGGCACGGTCGCACTTAGGGTTTCATTCGCGGTGCATACATGTCCGACCTTAACTCGTGGGTGAACGGCGGCTGCTGCCCATACGGACAACAGCGCTTGGGATGGTCTATTGCGTGAGCGTTCGGGGATAGGGGGGGGCCCGCTGCACTCCTTTCTATGTCGCCCCGTCTCGTCATCGGGGGCAAGTTGGTAGCGTGCAAGTTCACCCATCACGTTGCCTGTTCTGGCATGGCCATCAACGCGCGACAGGGAACTTGAACCTAGGCCTTATTCTTCGTTCCTACATCATAGCATTGACCGACGCGACGTGTCCTGTGCACGCGCTGTTCCTGTGGTGCTGTTCTTGTTCTTCTGGTTGTTGTTCCTGTTGTTCTTGCATACGCCCGCGCGCCGACATGACTGCATGTACATTGCGCCGTGCGCCAAACGCCCTGTAAACAGCTTCGACTAAACAGCTTCGACACTAATCTCACATTCCAATATGCCACTGCACTTTCTTCTCCAGCCTGGCCACATTCTCTTCCTCGCAAACATACTTGGGCACCTTACAATCCAACACCATACGTGCTTTGGAAACGCGGGCAGCTGCTTCACAAGGACCCCCCTATTTGCCTTTTGCGTGTTTGGCTATGTGAGGACCGGTCATACATTCTGCTATGCCGCGTTGACTCACGGGCTTGACCTTCTTACGGCCCCTCATATCTATTCTATGATCGATAATACTAAGTTCTGCACACTACGGAGCAATCTGGCAGCAATGGACACTTTTGGCTGGAGGAATGAAAATGTACGGATCGGCCTCAATTCATTCCGTTTTTCCAAAGGCTAAAATGGCCTTTATTCCTTATAAGGAATATATTACTTAAAAAAAACACTGGGTGCAGGGCGTCATCCCATGCAGCAGATCTATGAGGGGGTTCGTGCTGAGAGGGCAGTCAGTGGGGCCGGGGTCCAGCTATTCCTCCTCATGTGTTCATACATTATTGCTGCGCATTCGCAACTAACAAAATGGTTTTGCGTGTGGAATATGAATTATTGAGACAGACGTCTAAGGGGGTGTGCAGTGATTTACCCTACGCTTGGAGGCGGGTCTGTTGCGACAGACCTTCGTGACAGGCTGATCGACCTTCGGCCCGCCTCCTCTCTGGCCAAGGGCTATGATTTCATGCAATTAAAGGGCTGCTAGATGGAAAGGGAAGTATTGATGTTTTTTTGCATCCAAGGAAAGGGCGTGGAACCTGTGGAACCTGTAGTTGTAGCTGTAGCGGCGGAAAAGGCACAGGGCAGTTACCTTGCACAGGGCATTTGCCGTGGTTATGATCTCTTGTTGCATAACGACACTGCCGTACAACTGCGTTGTTACACTCTCTTGCCATGCTTGAAGATCCTGTCCTATGGCTTGCCTGCCCAGTGGACAGGGGTGGGGCGTTCTCTCATCATGCTCACATCTACCCGTACACCTACCCGTACATCTACCCGTACGCCGCCTTCATTTCTGGCGCTAATGGCTGCCGAACGAAACCACCATCACGCATCAGAGCCCCTGGCTGCTGCAGGACTTCTGTTGGTTTGGCTAGCAGGCTCCCTGGGCAGGTGCGCTTGATAGGTGGTGGCCGTCAGGTCACAAGACGAGAGCTGGGTAAAATTTCGACGTCCAGCAAGACTTAGAACATAGGAGTGAAACCCTGCAACTAGCCAATACCGCGATATAGATTCTGCGGGTCGTCTATCTACGACCAGTATTATACAAGGAAGAGAGCTCCAGAAATGACACATGTGCACGGCATTCCGGACATCGTACGGCTGACCACGAACTATTTTTAGTATATATGCGACGAACTGCGCTCCTGCATATATGCTGTTGCAATTACGTGACCACTTGACCAAACAGGATTGGTTGCGGTGCTCTCCGTTTGTAATCCCCAGCGTTACCCAGTCGGCGTGAAATGGCAATAATGCGTGTGTGTAAGGTCTGTCTCTAAGGTCAAGTGGACGCGTCTTTGGAGGATCACACGCTTCGATGCAATTGCAACCAGACTTCCGATCGATCGCGAACGAACAGCTGGTGAAGCTGTACCACCCTGTAACAACAACAATATAGGCGGCTGGCAGAGGTTAAGGCCTGACTTCTGCTCCCGGCCGACCCGGGGTCAAATCCGCCTGCCGACCTCTCGGATGTTTATGAGGTGGTGAAACGGGAGGTGGGCCCCCATCTTGTGGACGGTGTAGGAAGTGATATTATCAACTCCCGAGCTGACCAGGAACTAAGTTGAGGCGCCGTTGATCCGCTACATTTGGTTGGATGCTGGTTGTGAGTTGTCAAACTCAAAGAGTACACTCTGAAGTCGGATGGGGTGAATGGCTTAGGGTGCCCCTCTAGCAGGTGAGAGCAGGGAATTGCCTCGGGAAGGAGGCCACTGGTGAAGGTTAACCACCCTGTAACAACATCAACAATTACAATAACAACTGTATTATCATTAGAAGCTTGGTAGCTAGATCCCCCTCCGGCCACTATGAGCATCTGCGTCTAGGAAGGTCGGTTAAATTCAGTTAACAGCGAGCCGGGAGCCGAGAGGTAGCCTGATGAAGAACCGAGTGGAAGTGAGTGTCGTACACCTTCCTCCCGTACGAGCTGTCACAAAATGGACCAACAATGGGGTGATAAAGCCGTACGGTTTCCAGTCACGCACCTTGCAAATAAAATAAGAAAAAAATGCTTCGCTTATCCCTATTCCTTCCAACCGCCGTTTTGCAGCATGTACGATATAAGGTATGGGGCGTAAGTATTGGTGTACGGCCACGTCTACACGGAACAGGACACATGTACACATTTATAACACGTTCATTAAACGATACACAAAACAAAAAGAGCGCAGCTATCCCAAACACACGGCCAGCGATGTGCGCCTTGAGTTGCGTGAATAGAATGGGAAGCACCGAGGGTAGCTCCTGCAGCTGTGGCCTTATATGCCTTCAACGGCGGTTACCGACGGTTACTGTTCTCGTCACTCTCGTACGACTGCGTACGCCAAAACTGAATATCTATTACCACACAAAGAAAGGAGTTATGCGGGCGTGACGACCTATAGTGAAATTTCGGTCGGCGCAATCGATGCAATCGGCACTGGGGGGATTGCAAAAATGTTGCAAGTCCCCATTCCGCAGTTGCATTTGCTGCTGCATATGCAGCGTCACACGACCCCAAGCCGCCGGGCAAATGCACGCACATACGTCTTCGCTCTCGCTTCCTCAATATCAGTATGTAATAATTCCAATTATCGCAGACAGGTCCTACAAACATATAATATAAATGTACACGCAAAAACTTCGATGGGTGCATCGGAATTGATGGTCCTTTGAGTTCCCCGGTCAGTAAGGTTTCTATCCAAATCACTTTCGTATCAATTCAGAAAGTGTGGCGACACCATGTTGCTGCCATGCAGCATCACTTTCTGCCAATTCCCTTCAAACCTGCACTTGGTATGCAAAACCCACTTGATCAGTTTCTTGGCCTGGTTGTAAACCGTTGTAACCGTTGCAACTTGCCCAAGACCACAACCTGTTCGTTTCACCACATCCATCTTTCCTTACCTTTCCACCAACCTTCCACACGCCTCCTTCACTCAACCTCCAACACGTCACCCGTTCCTCCTCTGCCTCCGGTCCAAGCAGCCTCCAACTCTAGCAAACCCAGGCAGTCTTATCTGTTAGGGCGCCTCAGGTCAATTACATTTTCCGCCAGCCCCGCTCCTTCAGCTTCGCAGTGGCGGCGACCTTCTCCGCCTGCTTAAAGCCCCGAAGCTGCATGAACTTGCTGCCGACCTTTAGCAAGGTCCGAATGTCCGCCCCCATCCGCAGCAAGCCCTGCAGCCCAGGCGGAATCTCTACGGGCTCCTCATCTGCCTCAACGTTGGCTGCTCGCCCAGCGACCTCCTTTTCGGAGTCGCTGCCATAGCCGCTACTGCTGCTGCCGCTGGTACTACTGCCATCATCGCCGCCGCCGCCACAGCCGCCACAGCAGCCAGTGCCGCCAGTGCCTTCCGTCCGCATGTTCGTACCGAAACGGTCAAGAGACGCAGCCGCCATGAACGCGGTCGCGGCACCAGCATCACCGAAACGGCGGGACGCCCTGACTGCTGTCATTGAGCGCCCTAAGGTCCGCTGCTGCTGCTGCTGCGGCGGCGGCGGTGGCGGCGGCGGCGGTGGCGGCGGCGGCGGCGGCGGTTGTTGTTGTTGTTGTTGCTGTCCCTGTTGCTCTTGCTGTTGCACGGGCTGCTCCGAGACCGCTGCGGCGGTGTCCTCGGGCTCGTTAGCCCGCGAAACGAATCGACTGTCTGTAGTGGAACGTAGCAGCTTGCGGACCCCTAACAGCCTTGCTGTCGTCGCGGCCACCAGCACGTGTTCCTTCCGCGAGCTCGACGTCCATCCCTGCAGTGCGGAGCCTGATTTGGCAAGATTTCGGAAGCCGCTGCCGCCGCCGCCATGCTCTGGCCCGTGCAGGCCGGCCGAAAGGTCCCCAGCGCCCGATGGCCCCTCGCCAGGCTTCGCCGCCCCCACTGCTGCCCCTGCCCCTGCTGCCGCCGCTTCCGCCTCCGCAGCCTCAGCAGTCTTTGCAGCTCCGCCAGCCATCCCTGGTACGGCATCCGGCGATGGTGAAGCGGAGGAAGAATTTGCTTGTCTGGGGGATGCGATGGAGCAGTGATTGGCCTTTTCATCTTCATCGCCTTCATCTCCCTTCCCGGCTCGCTGTGAGAGTGTGAAACGGAGTTTGCGAGAGCTGAGCGCACTTGACAGCGGCGGTGTCGCCGGCGGTGGTGTCGCCGGTTGTCCATCGCCTCCAGGGCCGGATGAAAACATGCCTTCGGGGGACTGTGGTGGTGTGTCGTCCTTACCATCCCCGCCGCTGCCGCTGCCGCTGCCGCTGCCGCCGCTCACACTTGTGGTTAAATTAGGAGAGCGAAGTGCCCGCAGCAGCCAGTCGGCTCGTTCAGTCGGGACTGCCGCCGCCGCTGCCGTCACCGCTGCCGCCGCCGAAGCTGCTGAAATCAGAAGCCCTCTGTTGCCGCTGATGCGTCGCTCCAGTATGCTCCAGCGTTTAGATGCTGCCCGCGATAACTGTTTCGGTGACGTCACTGATGATGTGGAGTGTTCGGCACTAAGCTGCTGCTGCTGCTGATGATGTTGCTGGTGCAGTTGCTGGTGCTGCTCATGTCGATGCCCGGGTTGTTCGTTGGGAGGCAAAGGAAAGTACCTACGGGCAGCTTCATGTATGACGGCCATATCCGCCGCCGTCATTATTCGCGACATGTGTGGCTCCCGATTGAACTGCACCTGGCCGCCGGTGCTGTCGTCGCCATGACCGCCACCAACGTCGTCGCCGCTGGCGTCGCAAGGGGTACTGATGCCACCGACGCCGCCGTCGCTGCCGCTGCCGCCGTCGCCGTCGCCGTCGCCGCCGCTGCCGCTGCCGCTGCCGCCGACGCCGACGCCGCTGGGGGAATTTGATTCCTCTACATTGCAAGACACCCCTCCGTCGCTGATAGATCGCCCACTGGCCCCGCCGACGCTGCGGCGGTTGGTGCTTACGTGGCGGAGGACGCCGGAGGGGCTGATGCTTAGGCACTCAACTTCCGGAGACCAGTCGCATCCCCTGGCAGAGGCTAAGGACCGCGGTGTTACCAGTGGAAGCTGTTGCTGCTGCTGCGGCGGCGGCGGTAGCGGCTCTGTCGGCGGCAGCAACAATGGTGCCGGCGGCGGCGGCGGCGACAAGGGCTGTGGCGGATGGTTGCTGTTGATAGCCATGATGTTGTTTCTTTTTTGCTTCGAAGGGTCCTCAACGAACTGCACGCGACCAGACATTGGCGCGGATTGACACAGCTGTAGCTGGGGTACTCCTCCTACGGCCGTCCGGCGGCCGCCGCTGCCATTGCCGCCGCTACTGGCGCCGCCACCGCCGCTGCCACGCAGATAGTCCGACAAGGACATGCCGTACAATGGCGAAGCGCACGAGGAGTCTTTCTGACTGGACACTGGGCTGCTTGCATAGCCCTTGAGTTGCGGTTGTGGCGGTTGGTTGGGTGTCGTCGGCCGTAGAATCAACGGTTGGGACGACTGAGGTGACGATCGTGTGCATATTAGTGGCTTCGATTGCGGCGGTGATGGTTGTGACGGCGTTGAATTCCGAGGGAAGAGCCGGTCGGCAGGTGTAACTTGGCGAGAAAGGCCGCCCCAAAACGAGCCGCCACTGCTTGGCGGCGGCGTCGGCAGCTGTAGCTGCTGCTGAAGCTGTTGCTGGAGAGTCATGACAGAGGCGAGCTCTGGCGGGGGCATTGGTACTGACGACCGATGCCGTATCGGGCTGTCGCTGCCGCTGCCGTCGCTGCCGCCGCTGCTACTGCCGCCACCGCCACCGCCGGTACTGCTCCCGACGCCGACGCCGTCGGCTGCAGGATACGTCTCCCCGTTTAAGAAAGCCGCCCTGGCGGCGGCCGCCTCTCTGTAGCCATAAGGCCCGGTTATGCGGCGGCGTCGAGGCGGCCGTGGCCAGGCGGCTCCCAGGTCCCGGCTGGTGCTATCCGCCCCAGGCAAAGAGGTCCTGGTACCCAAGCATGTCCATTGGTCGGCCGCTTCCCCGCCGCCGCCGCCGCCACCGCCGCCGCCGCCGCTGGTTCGCGCTGTCGCGGCCAGCATGGAGGCCAGCTTGGGCCCTGCTTCCCGAAATGCGACACTTGGCCTTGAGGGAAAAGGTACGGGGACGTGGGGGGCGGACGTAATTGGAGTGCCAGGGAGAAGGCGGCCGGCACGGCTGCCGCTGCCGCTGCCACTACCACTGCCATTGCCGCTGCCGGTGATGCTGCCGGTGCTGGTGCCGCTCCCAATCCCATTCCCACTGCCATTGCCGCTGCCGGTGGTGCTGCCGGTGATACTGCCGTGCAGGTCGGCATTATTGCTGCCGGCGACACCGTTTCGACGGGCCGTGTTTTGGCCCGGAATGGGAGTCCGAAGCAGTGTCCTCGTTACCGCCACCGGCTCTTCGATCTCCGGTAGCGGCCGGCTTCGAAGGCCCGCGGAAGCTTGCATTTGTTGTAGCTCTCGGGCGGTGGGTGCGTACTCGCTATCTCCGTACATCAGGCGGCACATGCCAACGCCCGCACAGCCTCCGATGGGCTTCGAGTTGCCCAAGGAGACGAAGGAGACCAGCTTAGCGTGCTTGTTTAGCGCATTGCGGAATACCTCGTGAGGAACACGTCCATGGTGCTTGCGGCGAGCCCGAGGGGAGGCTTCCTGTGGCCATGAATTTGAGGGCCGGCGAAGCGGTCGTAACTCTAGTCGTGTAGACAGAAGACGAGGCGACCAAAAGGATTGGCGAAGCATGAGGAATCTAGTAGAAAATATCTTGGTAGATTTGCATGTGAAATGCGCAATAACTGAGGGTCCAGGTGGAGGTGTGCCTGGCGTCACGGCATGCGGCCATAGCAACTTCGACTGAGTTTTCAACACGCCCTGGCTGGCATTTCAGATTTTAAGCAGAATCATCATATATGCCTAATAATTTTCATTTTTGCTGCTGCATTTGCAGCGCAAGGGATGAAATGCCAAAGGCCATATGCCGTTCGTTTCAGCTCCAGCGCGTCACAAATAAAGGTATCCTAAGCCCAAAGCTTTAGGATTTTATAGCTGCAACCGAGTCAACGAAATTTTCCCTATGCGCAGCTTCCGACCCTTAGATAGCTCTGCAAAACCATCCCAGCTAGAACCGCGAGCGAGTTCGACTAAGTAGATTCGAAGCGGCTCAACATGCAGAAATTAAAGATGGCATGAAATTATATAACATAGCTTAAACCAAAACTAATTGGCAGCTAGTTCTATTCCCTTGAGTCTCCCAATTACGTACCTTCAGTTCGGTGTCATTCTGCTGCATCAACTGAAGGAATGGATTTGTCATGTTGAATTCCACAGGTATTGCTCTCCGCTGCAGAGCCGCAGCTAGGCCTGCTGGAAAAATAACGTGGCACGTATGCGAACTAGGAGGCCGTAGCCGTGGCAGGTTAAGTAATTCATTTCTTACACAGTGCTCCTATTGAACCTGAGGCGACTTTTCCTCTATACACTCCCTCAAGTACCGTAATGGGCTGCAGTACGGCCGACCAAACCAGGAGGCGCCGGGACACGGCATGCGTCAATAATCGTGCTAACGCCGACCTAGGGCCCTTTTACAGACAGGTCATCAAAAACTGCTGGGACCTATTTCCTTGCTGGCGTAAGGTTGCACCGGTATGGCTGTGGCCGTGGACACCCACTATCGGCTGAGCATGGCAAGGCGGAGCACCAGCTTCTGCCGTCCATCAATCCGCAGCTCGATAATCCGCACTACTACACCAAGGGTTGTGTTACACAACTTGTGTAGTGCGACTACGGAGCGCACATCACCATTGATCCTGCAGCGCGAGTAGGATTCGACCGAATGTTGCGCCTCCATCTCCATCTTTCTAAGCAAAAACGAAATTCATCAAGGCACGAAGTGAGAGCCGCCACATCTTCCTTCCAGGCTCCTATCATTCTCATCGCTATGCCACATCTATTCACGAACCAAGGCGCCATTTGCAAGTGTCTCACGCAAAACCAGTTCCCTGCAGATAACACACTATTACCCTCTTGCTTAAGGAGTTCAAGCAGGAATCCCTTATCTAGTCCTGGGCCAAAATGTGTCTCTGACAGGTTTTGAAATCGGCTCGCTCAGGGCAGGGCCACGCCTAGGCGACGTCTAGGGGACAGCAGAGTGGGCGGGAGAGCTGGACCAGCAAAGGATGCGCCGATCCCTCGATGCACTTCGATGTAGCTGGGATCATGTCGCCATAGCATGCTGCCCCAGAAGGTTCCCGAAAGGGGTTACGTCAATCCCGGAGTGACGATGTGCCGTTACAAACAAAGGATGGGTCTGGAAGTGTGTCATAAGCATTTAAGTACCTACATCCCGCGTGATGCACATGCATGTTAACAATTTGCGTTTTCGGTCGCTTCGCTCGCTGTCAAAAAACCGCCCCGGCTATAACCCGGATAGTAATCATATCCCCGGGGACAGGAAAGTCTAAAGCATTCATCGCAGCCTGCAGGGCTGCTGTTGAAGACGAACTGCACGTCTTGCTGAGTGTACGGCTTGCACGGGCATATGTACGTGTTCACTACGGCATAGCGCCCCCTGGGGTTAGGTACAGGATCTAACGTGACGAAGGCAATGGAGCATAACATACCCTCTGGCTGCATCCCGGACTCCTGGGCAGTGCGTACCTAGCTCCTACCTAGCAATCCTGGGTACCGGTCCCAATTTCGGTTCCCATTACGGGATACCCTCCCTTCAGCATTTCATATTGTGCACAGCTATCAGTAGCCACTTAGTAGACTGTCGCCGCCAACATATCGTGATCTCGTTTCGACCCTTGCAGCCTGAGTTTAGATGATGCATATTCAGGTAGGCTCACTGATGAGGCTCTCCAATGGTAGCTTTGGCCAGGGGGTCTACTAAAATAAGGGTCACCCAAGACAAACGAAGCCCGACAACGGTTACTTACAGCGCATTCCTTGTCTTCCCCTAAAGGGGATAAGAACCAAAGGTTACCCAAAGGTTATCGTCCCCTTCGGTTATCCCCATCGGTAACCTTTGGGCTCATCCCCTTTAGTTCTTCCCCTTTGGTTCCCCTAAAGAAGACGAACTAAAGGGGAAGAACCGAAGAGGATGGGTTCCCCTTCTTGTTCTTCTTCTTCCCCTAAAGGGGAATTAAAGGGGAACCCCTACGTCTTCCCCTTCGTCTCCCCGAGGGGGAACACCCCTTTGGTTCATCCCCTTTAGTTCCCCAAAGGGAAAGAACTAAAGGGGTGTTCCCCTTTGGGGAGACGAAGGGGACGAGCACTAAAGTGTTCTTCTTCCCCTAAAGGGGAACTAAAGGGGAACCCCTTTAGTTCCCCTTTAGGGGATGAAGAAGGGTAAGACGAAGGGGGGTTCCCCTTTGGGTATGAACCGAAAGGTTTCATCCCCTTTAGTTCCCCTTTAGGGCAACCCGTTTTTACTTAGATCGAGCCAGGTGTCTTTAAGAAATGTAATACAGCGCGTAAGCATGTTTATTACGTCACAATTTCATTTACACATACGAGGTCGGTTGAGTCTTTGCAATTCAGTTACGCAACCGAGGAAATATACATGCGCACATACACACACACGATATACACACATATATGTATCAGCATTAATGAAGCTCTCCGTCGGGCTCCATTGTAGCGCATGATAGGATTTATCCACAATCACCGAGCTGCTGTTTGTTTGTCATCGCTTGGCGACAGCACATGAAGAAAACGACGACGAACCAGAACCTTACATACAACGGCCTAACGCCAACAATATTTGTTACATAAGGCGCTAAGGAGAGCAGTACAGCGCACGCTTAACTACATGCAGTACAACGGCACATATACACACACACCAATAAAAAAACGCGCTGCAAAAACGAACCCTCGGATTCAATAGCAAATGTAAACCGCGACGAACAATCGGCCCCTAAGGCGTCCTATGCAACGCCCCCACGCGGTAACGCCAGAAGTCATAGCCCTAATTCCGCACAAACGGGATTTGCAAGAGACACTGACTCAGAACTTTCCAAAATGATGATCTCGCTAATGTCCTCTGCAGGGTGCAACTGGCAGGCAAACTAAACAAGACGACTCTCCTCATGTGCCGTACGTATCCATTTTTACGATGTACGATGTCCGTACAATATCCCAAACGGCCAACCAAGATTTCTAGGACGCCGGCATTCCAAAGGGAAAAGCAAATGGGTTCACAGCATGGGAGGCCCTGGTGGTTACTGCTGCCAGGTGCGACTGTGGCGCGCGCAATTTGAGGTTTCCTGCAATTGATGCACCGACGCACGAAACGTGAAGCGAAATGAGCTCTCGGTATGTTCGCCGACCCCGTTCCGCTTTGTTGCATCCTCATCAGTATCCAACCCGACCCGACCCAACCGGGAGAACCACCAACACCTGAAATAATTAAGAGGTAACTCGCCGTCTCATCACCCCTAGAGCAAGCACGGTGAAGAGTTGTCTGTGTGTATATCTGTCGGCGGATGGCGCAATGAGCAAACGAAGACCCTGGCCCATCGAGGGTCAACGAAAACCTAATGTGATGTCCCAATAAGCTCACCATCAACCGTCCTGCAAAAATTCCTAAAACGGCCGGAAGCCGTACATTTACAGCCGGATGCGAAATATACTGAATGTGCGCAGATACCTTCACGCGCATCTACCGTCAAGCAGCTAGTATGTTTAGTTTAGTATGGTAGATGTGCGCATACAGACATGCCCCAGAATGTCCACGGGGGTGAGCAGCACCCCCCGCGCATTTGCCGGCTGCTGTGCGTACGTATGTACATACATCTATACATGCACGTCCAAAAGCGTGTAAGTACACACACAAACACACAGTGCTTAGGAGGGGGCAGGGGCCCCTCGCGCCCCTCTCCCGTCCGCGGGAGAGAGCTTAATCGGTCTCTCCGTTGGGGCTGGGCAGCAGCCCCTGGCCAGTGTCAGGCCCGATCAGACACTTGTAACCTTCACACAGCCACACACACACAGCCACACGCACACGACGCACACGCACATACACACAACACACACACACACACACACATACACACACACATACACACGAACAAAGCACGAATTAGGAACAGGGCCCCCTGCGTTCCAGTGCGGTAGGATATGTATTGTGTACGGCAGATGCCTAACAAACACGTCAGGTCAATGTAGACATTAGGGACAGCAGTTGACCCATGGTCCGTCTTGCTTTTGCGCCATTCGATCATTCGTGTTGAGTAGGAAACAGCCTAATGCGTTGTTGTGCTAGGGGCCCCTGCTTCGTAAACAATCCAGCATGGTCGGAGTCCGCGTCAGGGTTTGGGTCGGTAGTGGCGGAACGGGACATGAAATAAACGTATGAAGTTAGGTACGCCGTACGCCGTACGGGGCGCTATCGTAGCTGAAGTCCCCCCTTTCCCAACTCACACCGCATTTTATTGCATTGTTAAAGGGCAACATACCGTAGGTTACCCACCCTTCAATTACGTCACATGTTCACATTATCCTTCCATTCATCATTATATGCCCCCCAAGGAAGGCCGTTTTTGAGTGGGTGCTGCCTGGGAAACGACAAACAACCCGCGTGAGTACGAGATGACTACCGATTCCGCAATTACCATCCGGCGGTAAACGGTCGGCAAAAGAAATAAGGAGGAAAGAAAGGAATATCAGATTACATACATCGCGTATACAAGAACACGAAGAAGCACCCAAATTCCATTCAGGGAAGAGCGTACCAAGCACATGTACTCAGCAGCATATGCCGCAGCTGACAAGCCCACGAAGCAAACCGAATTCCCTCGGGGCTGGTTGCAATCAATTCACACAGACGTCAAATTTGGCAGCAGTTAATTCGTTTGCCAAGTTGCCAAGAATAACAGCAGCCCATATGTCTCCAGGTCTATCTAAGCAGTGTGCGCATCCCATCGCGCACGTTACACAACCAGCAAATTGCGTGGCGTGGAATAAACAAGCGGCAAAAGAAAGGGTCACGTGCGACAATTCATTGACTTAATTCCAAATTAGCAACTCAGTTGCATGCATCAATTTCGCACTTCCGGTCTGCGTAAACGGTTAGTTTATATGCAACGAGCGAGACAATGGGATGAGCCTTAAGCACCCATTGTTGCCGGTTTTCAGTCGCTGTCCTATACAAGGATCGCAGCCTCTTCCAGGATTGCGGTTGGACGCGAAATCTAACCCAGATACTACACCACAGTGTTGCCCCAAAGCTATTTTTCTATTTTCACTTCAACTTGCTCGATCGTCACCAAGTCAGTATTGGAGGGCTTAACCACTCCTTCACAAATTAACGAAGAAAGGAAACAACTGGGAAATGGAGGCCTAATGAACTAAGAAAAAGACGTCACGGACCCTTCAAAACGCCTGTTGTATGTGTGCGTGTGTGGTGCGTGCGTGGTGCGTGCGTGCGAGCATTTTGCAATGGCCCGAATGGCCCTGAACGACCACTGCAAAGCCCTATCGCCCCTATATAGCACCTCTCTTGCATGGATGGCGCTCTCCGTCGGTCACCCCGTTCGCTGTCGTACCAGCTCCGTACATAATGAGATTTTATCAAGGCACAGACAGCATGATGCTCTTCTCGTTTGTGTATAGCCCAGAACAGGGCCGTATTTCATTCACAACAACACGTCCCCTCAACAAGAGATGCGCCAGGATGCGCAAGTCATCATCACGTTGGCATAACTGTCATGTCTTTAAACGGATTTCCTTGCTCGCGCAGATTTCATGACATGCGTGTCGTACACAGGTACGTCCTCTGCATCATCGTTCATCGTTCATGCAAACTCCTACTCACCTCCACACCTAGCGACAACAAACAATTTGCACTTGACACAGCACAGCACAGCACAGCACAAGCCCCTGGCCGAGCTCCCGCACTCAGTCACAGCACTCCATAAGAAAGAAAGGGTCACCAAGGTAAACGCTGTGAGCCAATTTTTATGCATGGCTCGGCCACGGCAACAGCAAGCGTGATGTGTCCCCCCAACAAACACACATCGCCACCTCCTGGTTACTGATGCTGCATAAGTAGGGTCATGTACGGCTTCTGTATGACCAGATCATACGTTTGCTAAAAAAGACGGATCATTTTCGTTCTCTCGCTCTTGCTTACACCTCCAACGAGGCAGCTAAGTGAGCTACCGGACTAATAGCTGGCTGCTGGTCTTAGGACGCGGACTCCAGGGAACACCGGCAAAGCTTCGCTGCTGCCCAGCCGTAGGGGAAGAAGCCGCCTCAGGCAGCAGCAGGCGTGGCAGCCTCAACGGCGGCTTCAGGTGCTGCTGCCGCTCTTCCGCCGCTGCGTCGCCGTCGTAGGGCCCAGGGCCAGCCGCCAATTCCGCACCACGCACCCAATCAGTCTTGCGGCCACCGCAGCTGCTGCCGTCCTCGCCACCGCTCGTACCGCCGCAGGCGAAGTCGTTTTCCAGTGTCGTACACGTTACACGAATCCGTGCGAATGCACTCGAGGGGATAGCGGCTGCTCGGGGCGAGTCTGAGAAGCCCAGCGCTGTGGGATCCGGAGACCGCGTCAACGGCCTAAGACGTCGCGGTGGCGAAGGTGTCGGAATGCATGTGACCTGTTGTTGTTGTTGTTGTTGTTGTTGTTGTTGTTGTTGTTGTTGTTGTTGTTGTTGTTGTTGCTGTCGTTCTTGTCGCGGCTGCGGTATGGATGGCTTCTGTTCCTGAGGGGAGTTTAGATCGGCCCCGTTTAGAAACCGGACGCCGCTCCTCCGGCCGCTGTCGGTGCAGGACAAAATCTGCTGGCTGCTCCAGCCCCTCAGGGCTGCCGCTCGCGGCGTCATCGGCGCCGCTAACACCGCCGCCTCCGCCGCCGCCGTAAGCACGCACATGTCCTTAGTAGACGTGTGAGACATGTAGCCCTCATTGCTAGCTCTATCAGTACTTCGACTGCTGCATCTGGCGTCGTCTCCCACGTGACCCGAGGACGCGCGCGAGGTGCCCTCATCAGTTGCGCAGCAGCTCGGAGAGGGAGAAGATGTAGCACCGAAATTCAAACTCGTTGAGTCCGCGTCGGAAGCCGCACGGCCCAGGGCGCCAGGGACGAGCTGCGGTCTGCGGCCGTCGCTACCGCCCGCGGTCGAGTACGGCGTCGGCAGCCTGTGGCTTTCCCGGAAGCTCCGGAACAGATGGAATCGGGCTGACGGCTGCTTCGCCGTCGGCCCAGGTACGGCAGGGCTGCTGCCTGCTGCTGGTGGTATCGGGCCAGGAATGCAGGCCGGTGCTGACGTGAGTAGTACACTGGGGTAGGAGGATGTGGGATTGCAGATATCCGCGTCGGCGTGGGTGCTTCCGTACAGCATGGGAAACGCGCCTTCGCGGCTTAAGGACCGCCCTTCCGCGACAACTGGTCCGGAGGCTGTTGATCGCAGCAGTAGCCGTCTCTCCTCAGCCACGAAACACAACGACGCGTCATCGTGACTGTCGTCATCACTATCGTCGTCACTGCCCTTGTCGCTGGCGCTCAGGTCGCCACCACCATCTTCGTCGCCGTCGTCTTTAACGATCCAGCAACAGGCCCTCCGCCGCTCGTCCTGCCGCCTGCCGGGACGAGCGTTGCCATGTTCACTACGTCGATGGCTGGTCTTAGCGACGCTCGCGCGCGTCATGGCACTGGTGGTGCGGTCTGCCCGGACTGCCGCCGCCGCCGCCGCCGCCTCCTCGACTGTCCCTTCGGGGGACTGGGTGATGATGCGTATGGTGCCGTCGTCATCGTTGTCTTGGCCAGAGGCTTCAGAACCGCCTGATGCCGCCGCCGCTGTTGCGAGCGGAACACTGCCCTCACAGACGACCCGTGGATGGGGGGGAAACAAGGTTTGGAAGGATGCCGGGCGCGCCGTGACATCCGTATTGCCGTACGCACGGAAAAATGGGCTGATGGGATCCTGGTACACTTTTGAATGTGATTGCGGATGCTGTGGGGGCGGGAACGGCGTCGTGATGGTGGCGGCTGATGCTGATGCTGATGGTGGTGGTGGTGACTTCGTCCTTCCCTGCAAGGTAGTAGCACCGGGGATATGCTGCGGCTGCTGCTGGGACCGTTGTTCTTGCTTTTGTTGTCGTTGTTGCTGCTGCAGCTGCGAGTTCTCTACCTCGCCTGATTCCTCGCTCCGAAACTGGCGACTGTGTCGATTGAGCGTCCAGCCTTGGCTGCGAGACCGCAAAAACCGGTTCCGGCGCGGCACGTGGAGCAACAGCATATCCGCATCATTCGACTCCTCTTCAAAGGGCTGCAGATGCAGGTTATCGGCGGCGATGGTGGGCTGAACGGTCTTGGGGAGCGGCGCTGTCACGACATTGCAATGGTCATCGTCGTCGCTGTCCTCGTCGAGTAATAGTGCCCTTCCTGAAGTGCCGACGGCTCTTTGGCTGACGCAATGGCGTAGGAGGCCGCTGATGTTTCCGACTGGTTCAAACCTTGCGAAACTATCATAGTCGTCTTGCGGGTCGCCTTCGCCTTCCCATGGGGCACAACGCCATCGGCCTGTAGCGCCCTGCCAGAAGACAGGGTGAACACAACGATATACGATGTTAGAGGTTATCATAATTCATGCTTATAGAACCTACACACGCCAGTTTGGCATTTTTCCGTAGCTAGAGGAGACCGACTGGCATGACAGGTGGAACGCAGTTGCCAGCTTGCGGCAACAAGACGGAACGAATTGTGGTAAACTTAATACGAAATATACATTAAGCATATCAAAGCAATTGATGGGGCGTAGCGTGTTTCCTGGAGGCTGCGCCGTCTCAACAAACGCAGTGCGACGCTACGGAAGGTCAGAGCGCTAGTGTCATGCATGCTGCAGGAACCTATGTTCAACTGCTAAATCAAGCTATTGAATACAAGGCGATAACGGGGCTGAAATCATGTCTATTCCCGCTGCGATAGCGAACCGACTGGACGTTGGTTGCCTCTTCTTTACAAATATGATCGGGGGATTTACACCATGCTATTGATGGCATCTAATATCAATTGTGCTTATCGCAAGAGATTTGCATTACCAAAGGCAAGGTTGCCAAACTTTGCGAGACAACGAATCACACCTGGAACTCGCCACTCGCAGGCCAGGGTGAGAACATTAAGAATTTTAGGCGATTAGTACAATTAAACTCTATCGTTGGTGGAGAGCGCACCGTAGCTAACGGAAACACGTTTAGCGCATGAAATTGTCCTGTCTAATGCGCATTCTGGGTTCAGCAGATTAATGTCAAGTTAACGTAAATCCTCAAGCCACAAGCTTACAGTTGCCTGTATGAAGTGCAATATCGGCTGCACGACTACGACAGTATGCAGTACTATGTCATACGGACAAACAATTCTGTCTTACCTTGTGTAACAATACGTTGTATATTACCAATTTATTCTGCGTTCAAATCCTTTTAAAATCCCACTGCATCCAGCTCCCTGTCACGAGCCATATTCAGAACGTACATTAGCGCAGTTGCTTTCATTTCATGCAAGTTAACGTCCCTTGTGCATACAGCATATGTTTTATGATTTTTATCAATCACTCGTTTCGATGGTGCTTCCAGCATTCTGTGACCCGATGTAACATTTCGTACGTTGTTGGTTTAGCAGCAAATGGAACGTGAGACGTCAACCGCCTGACAATACACTTCTAAATTACTCAATTTCACACTAAATAACAACAGCCTCACGTATTGCAAGACGCACGCGCAATCCTTAAAAGCTGTCAATGCCGGCTGGCCGCTTGTCACATTTGCGCTTGCAGCTTACTTGCCATGCGCATACAAAATTCTGAGGCAGAAGCTAGAGTTTCTCAGATCATACGAATCCAATTTCATCTAGCGACCGTATGATACCCCAGCCGATACCCCAGCCCGCCTTTGGCCGTATGGGTTTTATATGGTTTTACGAATCCGCTGGCAAGGGTATGTCGCCCGCCTAAGGATTGCATTCATCGCACCTCCCAAAGAAAGCCGCACGCGTAAAAGGCAATTCAACTCGGACTCATCGGCTTGAAGACGGCCAGCAGATTCATCATCGCCATCACCTCCTAGTCTTCGTCTCGAATTGACCCCTCGAGCCATGGACACAGGAAACCACCCACCCTCCCCCGCCGCTGAGGAAGAGCCAACCCCACGGAAGAGCCATCCCGGGTGCTCCCCCGCCTCCCGGGCACGATGTCCTCTAAAGGTCCTCCTTCGTCGTCCTTCCTGACTCATCCCGCCAATAATTCATTCGAAAATTGATATGTGACGTGATGTGACGTGATGTGTGACGGCCACATAGTCCTGAAAATTTTACAGTTGTTACAGCTCTTACAGCTCTTTGAAGTCTCAAAAAAATTATGTTTTTTTATGATAACAAAGGAGAGCCAGGACAAGGTGCCTTTAGACAGGGCGGTGCTCTTCACCACACGGGCCCCCGTGTATTCGTTCCGCTCAGGATCCGCCTGCCGCCTCCCACAGTGCTCAAAAAGGGAGAGCTAAGAATGTGCTGCGAAACGTCCGCCCGCCGTAACGGCGGTGACCAGCCGTTCATCATCCATCATCCATACAGAAAGAAGAACGCGCACAATACGCAACATGCTGCTGAACAGCACCAACATAGAAGTACAAGAAGCTCAATGCTGGACATACCCCCGGAGGGGCAGAAGGGGAGACGGGGGAAGAGGGGAGAGAGCTGCCCTGCCAAGTCACCCCCCTTCATACCGAACTGGGGAACGCTGCGCAGCGCCACCACCGTGATGTGTGTGTGTGACGTGTGTGTGTGCATGGGTGTGTGTGTGTGTGTGTGTATCTCTCTCAGCCTACCAGTGCCGCACCGCAGTACCACCCATGCTGTGTCACGGCTTCAAGAATTCTCTGTAGTACGTACACTGATAAACATACATACATACATACGTCAAGTGTTGTACGACAATGTCTCCCTTCCGTACACTCCCCCGGATAGTACGAGATGCGCCCGCGAACACCACTGGATTGAGCTAATTGAGCTGCCTCTGCACATCCCGCCAGAACTAGAACCACCTATCCCTCCACAATTGACAAGATTACGACTCCTACGCCTGGCGAATCCTCGACCTGCCCAAACCCTGGTGAGGTCAGACCGGGGTGCAGCACCAACACCAACATCAACACCAACACCAACACACCGGCCAGTATCTGCACAGCTCTTGCCGCTGTCACACCACTCGAAGAGCAGCTCATGTCCTGCACCTAATAGTCCGCGGCAGTTGACCCCGTTTAAAAATGTAGTACATCCAACTACCTGACCAACCAAAACCAACTACCACAACACTATGCAGGATGTCCCTAATGGTACATAATGGTCCGTCACACTCACTCCCAAGTATATTAGATAAAACTCTATAATTAATTAACTAAATGACCGCATATAAAACGAGTGTTGCCAGCACGACCACCAACCGCCCACAACCGCCCACCGACCGCACTTCTCTGTTGCACGCTGTATCGCACTGAACCCACTAATCACTTTTTTACGGGTTCGTGCATGCACCTCCCCCCCCTGGTACACTACCTGTAAACCCCCATGGCCCCCTTTCAGGCCTTTACAGACAACTCCCGCACGTGTGTGTGCGGAACTTAGAACTTGGGTATATGCCGCATACGGCATATGGCTTCGTACGGCAAACCGGGACCCCATTGAACCGCAGGTCAGTCAGTGAGATGGGCGGCGGGCGCCGGCGGGTCGGATTAGTGCTCTGGCTTCACGTGTGCGAAGCTCCACAGCAGGGCTAGGTCGTACAAAATCTTCAGTCCTCCGCACAGGTAGAACGACCAGTGGAAAAGGCCCTGAGGGCTCACGGGGTGCGTTGCGGCGGTGGGCGGGTGGTTCGGATGGGGTGGGGTGGGGTGGGGTGGGGTGGGGCAAGGGGAGTGCGATGATGCCAAGACCAGGTGGAAGAGCAGCAACACAAGAGCTGCAAGGATTGGATGGATGTGGGGAGCTGTACGATATGTGTATGATAGGTGTACGAGAGGTGTAGGGAAGGCTCCAGATGGGCCCTCCTCATGTATGATGGGCACAAGCACGTGCCCATGCCGTACACTAACCTTACCACGATCACCATAGCATCATTATCATCATCATCATCATGAGGGAACACTCCGGGTCGTTGTAACGCCCACTTCACGAAAGCGAGTCATCTGCACCCCCTCCCCTACCCCCTCCCCTACCCCCTCCCCTACCCCCTCCCCTACCCCCTTCCCTACCCCCTACTCTACCCCCTCCTTACACACATAGAACTCACCCGCTCCGCCAGCCAGCCGGTCAGCAACGGCCCAAACGCCGCACCGATGCTTTTCGCGATGTTGACGATGCCCATGGCTGCCGTACGCTCGTCCGGACGTACGACGCCGGCCACGTAGCTCGCCCGCGGGGCCACATCCATCTGGACGGTTCCCGCGACGGGACACAGGTAAATGTACGGCAAGTAGTCGTGTACGGCACATGACCGAGAACGGCACACGCAAGGACGCCAAGTAAAAACGACGTGCGGATGAAAAGAGGGGGAGAGAGAGGGGGGAGAGAGGGGAGAAGAGAGAGGGGGGAGAGAGGGGGGAAGAGAGAGGGGGGAGAGAGAGGGGGGAGAGAGAGGGGGGAGAGAGAGGGGGGAGAGAGAGGGGGGAGAGAGAGGGGGGAGAGAGGGGGGAAGAGAGAGGGGGGAGAGAGAGGGGGGAGAGAGAGGGGGGAGAAGAGAGGGGGGAGAGAGAGGGGGGAGAGAGAGGGGGGAGAGAGAGGGGGGAGAGAGAGGGGGGAGAGAGGGGAGAGAGGGGAGAAGAGAGAGGGGGGAGAAAGGGACCCAAACCCTAAAGTCACCGGTGAACGCACCCAGGATAGCAACATACCTGAGAAATGGAAAACCTCAAAAACACCATAAGAGCGGCGAGGCGCAGATTTGGCATCAAGGGGACCAACAGCATGAGGATGTTGGAGGGCAGGTGCGTAAAAACCATGGTGTTGATGAGGCCGATCCGAGCCGCCACATAACCACTTAGCAGAGACGACACGGCTGCGAGCAAGTTGGCGCCAAACAGCAGGCTGCCCAGGTACGCCGTACTGACGCCGTACTTGGTCTACGGCACATGGGGTACGCGACGTACGGCAGCACGCGGTGTGGGCGTGAGATCTCGGCACCCATGGGGTAAGGGGAAGGGGTGCAGCAAAGGTGTAGCCGTTTCGCGAGTTTTCCTGCTTCAAGTCAAGGTAGTGACCAGCGGGCTCAGTTAGCTACCAGCCTCAGCTTCAGTTCCCCCCCCAACCTCAAGCCTTCTTCTGCGACATCGAAAAATGCCAAACTAGCATTGCCAGCACCAGCACCAGCACCAGCACCAGCATCGCACAAATCACTGAAGGTGCCTGGTTCTCGCATCGGCGCTGAGTGCATCTGAGCATACTTCACCTCTTCGGGATGGACTTTCGTTGAAAGGAAACGGCTTCCCACCCAGACACATGCACCTGCCGACCGACCCGTCTACAAGGTTTGTAAAGAAGTCCGGCTCCCGAACTCGGTGCCGCGAAATCTCTAGGACCACAACCCACCTCCACCACCGAGCAAAAACATTCCAATTTGAACTTTTCCAATTTGAACTTTTCCGATTTGAAACTTTCCGAATCCCGAAGCCCGAGAACTGTCCGGGCCCAGTGAAATACATAATAGTTGTATAACACTTCACATGAAGCCCCAGCATTTAAAGCCCCAGCATTTAAAGCCCCAGCATTTAAAGCCCCAGCATTTAAAGCCCCAGCATTTAAAGCCCCAGCATTTAAAGCCCCAGAAATGGCAGGTGACAATCAACCTCAACCTGGAAGTAGTAGGCCAGCAAGGTTCCCGTCAACAAGCCCCCGGCGAACGAGTCTGCCGCGAATAGCACCGAAAGGTGTACGACGATGCGCTGACTGCGCACAGATAGGCCGAGCGCGCGGCCGGCACCGCCTTCACTTCGATCGCCACGGTCAGCGGCGGCGGCGCCGCCGCCGCCGCCGCTGCTCTTCCCCGTCAGTCCAATTCCGAGGACCACTTCCCCGGCATCGCACCCACGTCCGGCTTCTTCGCCGCTACCGTTGCCTTCGTCGCCTGATTCGCCGGACTCGCCGTCCGCAGCGTCCGGTTCGGGTGGCAACGACAACATCGACGATGCAGTACGGCGCGGCGGTGTGCAGCCGTAGCCGCCGCCGTCAATTTCACTGCCGTATCGCTCCGAACCCTCCGTTACGTCATCTAGCATCAAGGGAAAGCTCTCGACTGCGTGTTGCGCCGCAGATGCCGACGCTTCTTCCTCCACATCCTCCAACGGAAGCGGCGGCGTAGCAGGTCGTTCCTCCGGGATTGCCGGAGCGAGCAAGGGCTCCTGCAGCCCTGCCTCCTCGTCACGCTCCACTGCCGTAAACGCCGTACATCCCCTACCGAAGACGGCTGCCGTCGCCGTCACCGCGACTGCTGCGCCGGCGACTGCTTTGCCAGTCTCCAAGCAGCTCCGGGTCCGTCGCTCCGGCCGCTCGACCTGCGGAAGTGAACAGTGGAACCACCTGACGGCCGTTCGTCGCCAGTTCGAACCCTGGATGCTACCTACGCACCGCTCCCTTCGAAAACACGCCGCCGCCGAATCTGCATGTACAAAGTTACCGTGACATTATTATTGCTGAAACTCCTGTCTAGGCCAGGTATATTTCTTAAATAAGAAAGTCCCGGCACACAGCCCCAGCATTGGTGAACCCCCCTTGCTTCTTCAAAGACCTGCCGTACTAAGCCGTACTAAGGTACTTTATCCTTCACTCCATTACATTTCGCACTGCCCTCCATCATTACCTGTTCCGTCAGCAGCATGAACAGCACCAGCAACATTCCGCCGATGATGCCGTACTGCAGGAACACGGCCCTGTAGCCCTCCAGCTCGGAAATGCCGTACACTCGCTGCGCCCACGTTAGGGCGCCGCCGGCCGCCAGTGCGCCCAGTGCGGTCGCGGAATAACCCACCAGGTTGTACCTGTCGAAGGGCGGGCCGGAGGCCAGGGCGGGCCGAGTGTTGTCGTACCAGGGTTGGAGGGGTAAAAATTTAACTTGCTGACTTGGGGACGGCGGAGGGTTGAACTTGCAGGTGACGGTGAGCTTTGGGGTTTCTGCGTGTCAACGCGGTTCATTACGGTCCATCCCAATTGGGCAGACAGGTCATAAAAAGTACGAAGTTGCTGATTATTGGCTGCTGACTGGTCTTGCCATGATGGTGCTAGGTCACCGTACGGCATGTTTACCATGCGTACCATGCGAAGACGTGCGTGCGGTTTTGCGGTGTCACCAACTCCGATAGAATGCTTTGCTCCAGAGCCATGAATGGACCGACCTGCAGTAGCAGCAGCAACTGTTGAGATATAGGCGAGTGGAACTGTGTAGGTAAAGCCAACCTTAACCGTTACAGGTATCACAGAACAAGCTTTCAGTCAGAACATGATCTCCTTTATACCAAACATCCCATCTTATCTGTCGTACAGCCGTTAGTGTTCTGGCCGGAAGTCAACAGCAACAGCACCAGGAGTAGAAATAATGGCACGAACAAAGCATCAGGAGCGGCAGAAATTACTAGTAACGAAAGGGCAGCAGTAGCATCCGCAAGAGCGGGGGTTATAGCAGCATGAAGGACAGCGAACGGGGCTCCAAGGCGAAAACCGCCAAGCACATCCCGCTCCGAGCGAGACCTCCATGTTACATCTCTTGGTGCGAATAAAGCGTAGTGTTTTGCAATAGGCAAGTCTACACATGTAAAGCCAATATTCCAGGCAAGCTGAATTCTGATGCAATAGTTGAAAGCAGCAAGGTTGCCAGGGGCCAGCCAGGCTGCAAGACCCAAGCTAAGGGCGAAACTGACACTTGACAGGAAGCACGAGCGTCAAAGGCCCGATCGATGCCATTTGGAGCGCGAAGGGGCAAGAGTTCGCGTTGCTTTGCGCGTCGTGTCGCAGCTTGTCGTACCTCGTTCCCGCTGGGCGAGAGCACTCCGATGGTTGCCGCTACTAGCAGCAGTGCGAAGGACGGATGTGAAACTTCTCCATATACCAATCCCGAGAGGACCATCAGCAAGCACGAGGAAATGAGCATGAACCGCCGTCCGATGCGGTCTGCCCATCTCGTTACGGCCAGAGAAATTACCGAATCTCCCAAAAGGGTGAGGGTTAGCAGTATCCCAAGCTGGTCATTGCCGAGTCCAATGGCGCTTAGGTACAGAGCCAAAATGACACCAATGGTACCGTAAGCTGTCAAGCGAACCGTGCGAGTGAGGAAAAGAACCGCAATATCACGGCGCGCAGACATTGTTTACGCAATCGAGTGACTAGGCCAAGTTAGGGTAGCACTGATGCTCACATCGCTTTGCAGGCCCTGGAAACCCTCATTGCGTTGTCTCCTTAAAGGGGCGTGCTTTGCAGACACCACATTTACTATGCAAACTCCTTAAGATAACAAATGATTTTGTTCAAAGCAGTGCGATCATCACATTGCTATACGGCTGCCGTGGTACGTGTTTACAACCAACTCTATCGAAATGGACCTCCAACCAACTCTCAATACTCGGTTCGTCGGTTCCCAATCCCCCCAGCCCAAAGCGATAAGTTGAATTCCTTTCAATGGAAAAAACGCTCGGACTGCAATCCAAGTTGAAGACCATGCACCACAAAAACTTGCATCTATTATAAGCCGCAGGACCAACCGCCGCAGCATGCGTGCGCGAAGAAGTGTGCGGTAGCAACAGCCCACATAGGGCGCCTCCGCTGCCATGCATCGGCATAAAAGAGCTCCCGCAGCCGGGCCCTTTAGTACTGCGCTATCCTACCCGAGCGCGTGGCGCAGGCGCAAACCTACCTGCATTACCCCGAGATCCCGAACAATAGAGCTACGGCAATCCATCCGTAATTGGGATGCGCAAACACGTTTTTTTTATCCTTCTGAATCAAGGCTAGGGACACCTGCGCCCGTAGCCTCTGCTCAAGACACTCTCAACACATAGCCCAACGCCCTCTCAACCAACCAGGCGTGACCGCCACGGCCATTTCTACTCCTAATGTTATAAGAAAAACACGTCGTCCAGTTGGCCAGAACCGCATCCGCCCTTACACCACCCACAAGGTGGGCCCCTCTCGTGTCTCGTACCGCACACACCTAGGACGCCAATCCTATCTACTAAGTGATTGGCCCAGACCTTACAACGACGGCCGCCGCTTTGCGCGCATCATCAAAACAGCAACCACGCCCTGGCGCTCGTTCCACACCGCCGCATCAACAAAAGCTATAGGTAGGCAGGTGCACCAACGCCGCCGACAACACTTTCAACGGCCCCGCAGCCCCCAACGCGCGACCAAGTGTACGCCTCCCAACATGAGGCGGCAGCGCGGCCGTCTCACATCCTCTTGTCTGCACTCTGCCACTTGTCACTACGTCAAGCGTCCTGAGAAAGCCGAGGTCCCGCAGGGCCCTGTAAAGCACGGCCCTGCGCCCAAGGGGCAGTCCAGCTGTGGTCCAAGCGTCTCTGGCTGCATTCCCCGAGTCTGGGCTGCATTCCCCGTCTGTACAGTGCGGTGCATGCCCATTGCCCATACCGGGCGCAATCTTTAACTCGCCAGTTACCCAGTACCTGCTACAGCCGGTCGAGAGAGCTACAACCAGTCGACGTGGCATGCTCTTCCGGCATATTCCTAAGGCCAGCACTTCCGTGGTGGACGTCACGGGGTAAAACCCGCTCCAAGTTGGTGTGTCCTGTCCTTCCCTTACTATTGTTGCCCACAAAACAGACGGACACACCGGCATCCAGCTGCGAGGAACCACGCATTACTGCAAGAAACTAGAGTACTAGCACACGCCCAGGGCAAAAAAATAAGCTTTTCTTGACGACCCTGCAGTGCACAAGACGTGAATGACACTTACAAAACGCACTCAGACCCAGAAGGACGCTCGCTCGGCGCCTTTCGCAGCCGGCGAAGGGCGCCGGCCGAAGGCTGTAGGGCCTGGGCCTTTTTCACCGAGCGGAATCACAAAAACTACCAAGACCACACTGCGAAAAGAGAGCCCCCCTCAGTCGTCGAAATTGACGTCATCCGCGTCGTCGTCGTGCTTGTACATGAGCCCCAGGTCATTGATGTCCGCGCCACTGGCCCCGAACGTGCCCGAGAACGCCTTCGCGTCCGGTGGCTGGTACACCTGCGCTGTGTTGGCTTGCATCTGCGAAAAGCAATAACCAGGAGCATTGTGCGCAAGCGGAGAAAAAAAACACCTCAAAAAAAAATCCACTTGTCAGATTCGGGAGTAAAAAGGAAGGGTTGCGGTGCGAACCGGTGTGCATGCCGTGAGGCATTATATAGAGCCCTCGCCTACGGCAGGTGCAGAAGGTAACGGAACAGGTAACGGAAGCCTGTAAGTTTGCACTGCGCGCCGTCCCCCAGTACTTGTCACAGTGTGGAGCATCTGACCTCTGTTATTACAGCCTCCCGAAAACAGCAACGCCAAGAAACTCTAACAGCAACTCTTCATACTGCACCGCGAAAACCGCGGGTAGGGCCCCTCGTGCGTCCAAATAAGCGCAAAACAGTACTAGAACCCCGACATCGGTCGGGAGCGTGAGATTATGGCCTCGATGGCCACGCAACGCGCCCCCCCCCATCTTAATGGTCTAGCCTATGTGGTCCTGGCTGAATAAGGCAGCCTCACCTGAAGCTCTTCAAGTTCCTTTTGCCGTGCCTCATCTTTGGCCCGCTTAGCCTCGGCCGCAGCAGCCTCCTCCGCCTCTCGCATCTTTCGCTCCTCCTCCTCTTTTGCCTGCCGTGCTTCTGCAACGACGCGAAGGCGCTCCTGGGGAAGAAAAAAAACAAGCCGGAGGAGCGTCAGCACAAACGGCTCACCACTTTCTTTGGAATGCTTTGCGCCCTGCTCAGCCTGCCTGGCCAAATTCAGCTGAACTCCATGGTGTTCACGTATGAACTCATCACCGGAAAGTCATCCAATGGCATGCACCTGGGCGCCCAGATAACTTCGACAGGTCTTACCCGTTCTCGCTCCTGCTCCAGTTCCTTCCGCCGCTTCTCCTCCTCAGCTTTCTGCAAGCCCCGAAATGGCAAAGAGTAAGCTTTCCAGGTTCAGATCTCCTGGCCCTTCTGAAAACAAGATCTTCCGAAGCAATGACGGATCCCCCTGCAGCGCCCTGCATATATTGCAGCATTCCCAAGTAAATCGACTAAGGCTATGTCACTTAGCCGCCCAAATATGGGTTCGTCTCTCTCCTTGTTTCAATGCCGTGCCTCATCTACCCAGCTACCTGCTGCTTTTCCCGTTCTGCAACACTGCGGAAGGAGTCCCACAGGTCGTCACCATCCTCCTCGCCGCCGGGCCCCGCCTCAGTTGCCTCGCCACCACCCTCCGCCTCTTCGTCGGCCGCCTGCCAAGCCGACGCATTGAGCACCACGTCCTACAGCCAGCACCAGAAGAAACAAGCGAACCAGCGTTCGGACGCGAGGAGACGAACAACGCTGTGGACAATCCGGCCCGAGAGGACGGGCTGACGGAAAAACCATTTAGCTAGGACCAGACAACCCACACATTCCGTGATGATGCACGAACCGTAAAGTAGTCGGAGGCATCGGGTGTGGAGCTGGGCATGGCCATGAGATCCTGAGGGTTTCAGGTGATTAAAATTTTTCGTCTCCCCATGGGCGCAAGGATACTGTGGGCAGCAATGACGCCCCAAAGGCATTGCTGGGAACCAATAAAAAATGCCGCGTCAGGCTGGGGTGAAGGGAACCACCCTCGGTGTCCTTACAACAAGCCCATGCGGGAGAAACCAAATTACCGTGGTTAAAAGACGCGCTACTTAGCATGTCATCAGTGCAGTCAGGGTTCCAGGCGAATCAACGCGTCTACTGTGCATGCACATGCAACCGAAGGCAGTCACAATTACGGCTAACCAACACAAATACTGTTGTGGACATGCACATAGGACATACTACAGTCAAGCGCTTAAGGTTCATCCACGAAGCCAAAAACCCACTTCACGGTTGCACGTATGTAAACAGTACCCATAATTTAGAATGCAGCGCTTCGCCAGGCAAAGTAACATTGCCAAAATGAGTTGATAGCAGCACGGTCAAAGTCACATTAAGGAGTAAGGCTTTGCGAGACACAGGGAATGTCCGCCTTCCACGCCATACCCTTAGCCAGCTTTCTACGGCGTCAGGTATTGGAGCACGGCGCAGGGAACTCGACTTGCGTAAGAATGATGTAAAAACTCAGGTGAACCAGCTAAGATATAAGTCCGCACCATGCAAACCACAATGTCAACGAGGAGTGAAGAGTTCATCGGACAAGCCGTACGAACTGCACGTCCGTCCACAACCGTCCCCCGGAAACCGGCATCTGCCGCCGGGCGCCACATGTTTCTACCTTATTGCTCTTCTTGTCGGTCGCAATGGCGGACTTGTCCTTGGGCGCGGTCGCCGATTCATCCACCGGAATGGCAGTGCGCTGGTTTTTCACAAAGTTTGGCTGACCTGTGCGAACCACAGCAAGAGGAAAAACACGCAGCAGCGGTCATCACCAGTCCAACGATAGATGAACTGTCGTGCACCGGAAGCGGCAATTGCTGCCGGCCGGCTTCCCATCAATCATAACAGCACAGCTACGCCGAGGTGCCGCCTTGTTATGGATAGACCAACCCTAGACCGTTGGAACGATTCGATCGGCCCTTATGCAGCTTCATGCACGCAAGCCGCAACCGTGGCATAGTAGCCATGGCGGCACGCCACAGCACGCAGCTACACACGCGGGCGTTGCGCTGGCGTGCATGGATGCAAGTCCAATATATCCAATCTCCATTGCATGTAAATCGTTCCTGTTACTCTTGCATGTCCCCCTCGCCTTCCTCGGCATCGGAGCTTCCCTGATCGACCATCTCGGCATCGCCACCTGTTTCCCCAGCCCCAGCCCCGTTCAAATCTGCAGCTTCCTCCCCTCCAATCTTGCGCCCGGCTTCGGCGTCGGAGGGCTCTTCGGCGTCCGTTGCCATGGCAATGGCATCCGTGCCCCCTTCCCCGTCGGCTTCCATGGCGTCGGGATCAGCTTGCCTGCCCTGGCCCCCTTCCGCGTCCTCGCCGTCATCTGCTGCCTTTGCGACCTCCCCATCTTCTTCTGCCTTTGCGACCTCCCCATCTTCTTCTGCCTTTGCGACCTCCCCATCTTCTTCTGCCTTTGCGACCTCCCCATCATCTTCTGCCTTTGCGACCTCCCCATCTTCTTCTGCCTTCGCAACGTTAGCGTCCTCTTCTGCGCCTTCTGCCTGCGCATCTTCTTCCGCATCTTCTTCAGCTGATTTTTCCTGCGTGGCTTCTTCCACCTGCCTGTCGTCTGGCACTGGCCCGGTTTGCGGTTCCTCGCACATTCCGTCGGCGGCTGCAGCCTCGGTGTTTCCTTCACCCAATGCTACGTCCCCATCCCCCTGCTCACTGCCCGCCAATGGTTGTGCTTGCCCCGTTAGTTTGACCCCATTACTTTGAGGCTGCTCGACCATGTTCGAGCCTTTGACGTCCTGCTCCGCAGAATACCGATCCGACTCTGGAAAGCAGCAGGGCAGGGCAGCGAAGCAGAGCAAAGCACAACAGGGAGACAGGTACGGCGGATGTCAGACATGACTCGGGCGGGAAGGTGCCCTATTGTCGCCTGGAACGCAGTCATCATCGCAACCCCGACGCTGCGGCGCCGCCAGGTGCCACAATGCTGTTTAACGAAGTGGGTCGTACGTGTGGATCTGTACGTCGTGCGCTTCAAAATGGTTGCACAGGATAAACGCAGTTGGAGCCTGGCGGCATAGTACCATTGAATTATGTTGCCTTATATCAACGGCTAATTATACTGAAATCCACCCTCGCGAAAACTTAAAAAACATGTCTTCTTCATTCACGTGCATGAAGGCCCGTAGTTGGACTCCCAACTGCTTTTCACAGCCTTGATTTGCCCCTTGCCTCTCGCGTCTAGCTTCTTTGTGAGGGGAAGAAGAAGCACACACGTACCTGAGCCGCTTTCCGTCCGCGCCGCTGGCTTGCTCACGTGCGGCTTCCCGTTATCGTGCACAGACCGCGACGCGCCACCACCGCCGGCCTTCGATGGGGCCGTTGGCTTAGCCGAGTGCTTGTTGTTCGCGTTGTCACAATACTCCCGCAATCGCCATAGCGTCTGGTTATCGAGCTGGTCAACGTCCAGCTCGATTTCCTCCTCGTCATCCGGGTTAATGTCCTTCAGGTTTTCAGCGATGATGTTGAGCACGTCCGCAAGTTGGTTGCCCTGCAACTCGCTGAGCGCGATGCTCAGCTTGCGCTTCTCCACCTGCAGTCCACCGAATGCAGGGATGGGCGATAGGACGTTACAACCTCGACAACCAGGGCAGCATCCCCGCATTCGCTCATCATGGCCACTCTGTCCAGCTTACAACTGAACTCCCGCTATTCCATACCCCTCCAGGTAAATGGATAATGGTAACCGGCGAGTAAACCAATGGGCAACACAGCCACCTTGGCCACGGCGGGAGTTTGCATACGACGACATACCGTGGTCATCGTCCGTGAGGGGTCCGCGTCTGGCAGCACGTGCACCGAGTTGACCCGCTGAAGCAGCTGTCGCGCACTTGACGCTATCCGCTGGTCTAGCGGGATAGTCTGCGGGAGTGAGACATGCCAATCGTTAGTGGATAGTCTTCATGGCAGACTCGAGTTTGCACATGAGCTAGCTGGGCCATCTCCAGTCCCGCGCTGCGGCACCGGCTGTACCGCACCGGCTCACCTGTGGGTCACGTGTCGCCACCAACGCGTCCCAGCGCTGCTCCACGTTCAACTCGGCCCACTTGCGTTCCCAGTCTTCGGACAACTGGTCGCCCATAATGCGGACCGGGGTGCCGACCGCGTTGTAGGTAGCGCAGTTACGCCACACTAATCGCACATCGGCCGCGAATTCCCGCGGGTCGCTGTATTTGCGCTCTCTGAGCCTAGTCTTGATGGTGCCCAGGTCCATCGGATGGCAGATAAACTGCGGTGAGCAGGAAGCCCCCACCAAACAGGCTTCTTTAAGTTCATACAAAGCATGCGGGCAAAAGGCTATCCATGCGCCGGGCAGGGGAAAGCGGCCTCGCGAAGCAATCCGGGAGCACTGAGGTGTTGCCACACACCTTGAAGTAGTCTGGCACGCCATCCTTAACCGGGTCCACAGGCCTCAGGAAGACGATGGCGTTCTTCTTTTTCATTAAAAAGTCTAGCACAGCTCCGCACATGCGCCATATGTCCTGGATCTTCTTGTCTGTCTCCGAGTCAAGCTTTGGCCGCTTGGGGTCCGGCCCTGTAAAACTTGCGGGCTGAGAGGACCTCTTAGCTGCGGGCTGTTTGCTGGCTGCTGCGGGAACTGCATTAACGCCAGCGGTCGCGGCTCCAGCCTTGACCTTCTCTAGCGCCTTCGCGAGCTTGCCAATCAACTCCAAGTTAATCTGCTGCCGCTGCTCAATCAGCTTCTTAAGCTCCTCAAACTTGCTGCGTGCCATGTTTGCAGCCTCTGGTGCGAGAGCCTTGCTCATAAGTATGCCCAAAGCTCAAGGCCGCCAATGCTGGTCGCAACGGGGGCCTGCTCTAGCGCTAAGCCCCCGGCTTAAGGACAAAATGCTGCCTAGCCTCCGTTGCAACTATAACCTTAATCAAAACGTGTATGAGGGGCGGCGCCCCATATGAAGAAGCCACTACTTAAAGAGCGCGGTTGCTATGACACGAGGAGTTACTTCAAGTTGACAGGAAAGGCTACTTGTATGTGATATGGACGTACCCAGTCTAGAGGCACTTGTGCAACTCTAGACGACCAACGACAAGAGTTGACCGGACGCAAACCTTCTGTTTGGGGGCCAGAATCACAGCCGTAGTTGCCAAGCCTCCTGAGCAGACAAACTCGGCCCATGCTCAGCGTTGCCCCAACCCTGGTCCGAACGAACACTTCTGAGAACTAAACCTCATTACTTCTCGTCCACCGCACGACAAAACGCCCCCTGTAGACTTTCCCAGCCGCTTCAACCCACTGAACTAAATATTTGTGGTAAAGCGCCTTATGCCATATATAACACTGTGATTTATAGTGTGTGTCGGGTAACCTGCGCAGTTGACGCGGGGTCTGGAATCTCGATGCTCCAGCAATTAAGTGCACTGCTCGACGCTCCTTCCTCAGGAGAGATTTTTGCGCAGCTCCATAAGTGCCTCATTCAATGTTGGATCCTTAATTATCTGCGCGCAGAGGTTGGGAAGGTGTTGCCTGTCTATCGCATGCGGCTTGGTCGGCCAGCCACCAACAAGACATCTTAATTCAACACCACAAATCGATAGCTTCACGGAACAGGAATGAAGATTCATGAGCTGCTGCCCCACAGCGCACCCTGCTGTGCACCAAACGCGCAGCGCACCTGCAAGAACGTTCCGGTGATCTTGCTCTTCAATCCCAAATCACTAATCATGATGCGCCGCGCCTCATCCACGGTATCCGCCAGCACCGCCAGCTCGCGCGCGGCGGTCGCAGCTGTTGATGTCAGCGCCGAAACCAGCTCCGGGTTCACATACCGCCCGCGGCCTTCGCAGCACAGGCAGGCAACCAAACACAAACATTCCAACACGTCCTTATTTTAAATCCCTTGCATCACGTCCACCAGCTGCTTCGGGTTACCTCTCTCCCAAAGCCTGTGTTATAATTCACCATCCCCGCACTCTTCCCCGCGTCCAAAACACACAGCACGCCCCACCCGGCCCCTACACACATACTCTACCAAAGGACCTTACCTGTTCGATCGGAAATGTAGGTGGTGTGAACCTGCCAGACAACACCCCACAGTGTTCTCAGAATGGCAGACATGACCTGATGTGAGCTGCTCAGGGGTAGCCCAGAAGATGGCCCGTGTGTACTGCAAAAACACACCATCGTACACGTCAGCAGCAAGAGACAGCGAGACACCAGGCAGGGCACTGAATCCCGTGGGGACGAAGGAGGCCAGGCAGGGCGACAATAATGAAGGAAAAAAAGAAGCCAAGATGCAAACACTAATAGTGTCATAAGTGTTAAACTTGTGCATTCTCTGGCGCAGGCTGTCTAGCTGCGACGCGATTCGGTGCAATGACGGCCATGGCTGTCGGTTAGCCGTTAGAAGTTGGCGACGGTTACCTCTCAACCCCATCCTCGCCTACCCCACCCCTCCACACTCTCAGACTTACGCCCTCGCCGCCGCCACCACCCCCTCTAGTAGTTCCGGATGAGCCACCAAGCAGGCCAGCGCCGAAACCACCGTCTCCTTGCTGCCGCGCGGGTCCTGTGGGAACGCCGTACAAACGTACAAACGTACAAACGTAGAACAAAGGTAGCAGTATACCATATACATCCACACACCAAAGCCTGGGCCTACCAGACGACGCCCACTAAGCAAATTTTCATGCATCTCTCCCATACAGCAGTGGAAGTGTACGGAAAGTGGTACGGCAGCAGGGGTAGCAGTAATACGCGCTAGGGCAGGGGGGGCCGCCGGGGTTGCTTCCTTAAATGGGTTGTGTGTCGTCGGACCTTCGCATGTTGATGTTAGTGGTCCTCAGCGATGCCATCCGGCCTGTTTTCAGTTCGTACGACAGCTGTACGACTTTCTTTAGTTTATCAAAGTAAGTAATGGACCGACCACCACGCCCACGCGTACCTGATTCAGGAAGGGGTACATGTCCCGGTTGAGCATCTCCATGAGGCCGGCATAAGCCCCACTTGCCACCGCCGCCTCCGCCCCTGGACCGCCCCCCAGCACCAGGTCCGACAGCAGGTCGGCGGCTGCCTGTCGGGCTGGCCAGCTCATGGAGTGATCCAACACGACCGTGGATAGGCGGGTCAGGAGCTGACGGCGGGGGGGGGAAAGGGGGGAAGAGGGAATTCGGGGTTTGGAATGAGTGTGGGTTGCGTGGGTGATGTAGATTGCAGGTATTGGTTGCAGGGGAGATGGGGGGTTAGTGTCTGTGTGTGTGTGGAGGGGGGGTGGAGGGGGGGACGCTGATGGAACTGGTTGGATCTGTTGAAAGGCGCGCACGCGCGCGTGCGTGTGTGTGTGAGTGTGCTTGTGCTTTTGGAGGGGGTGTATTTGAGAGGTTGGGCTGACGGGAGGGGGATATGACGACGGAAGGAGGAGGAGGGTGGGAGCTCTACCGGATGGTAGAATTAAACACACATACGCACACGTACAGCACATACACACACGCGCACCTGCGCGTCCTGTCCAATCGCCCCCAGCACCTCGCTTTGTGCATGGCTGATGGCCCGAAGTGCCGTACCCGCCGCCGCCTGCTCAGCTTGCTGTACGAGACCCATCCTCAAAGTCGGCGGCGCGGTAACACTAAGACGCCCCACATGGCGGGATTTCCGCAGGGCACTGCCTGGAGCGCCAGCGGCACCACCGCCGGCACCCATCCCCACGGGGCCGCCAACAATCGCTTCTCCGACGGCGGCGGCGACGGCGGCGGCCTTTGTTTGTACGGTCCGTACAATCACAGGCAACAGTGCGCCCAGCAAAGTTCCCGGGAAGCCGGGGAAAAGGGTTTACGGTTGGTGGGTTATGGTGGTTTTATAACTGAAATTTTATTTTTGCGATTTTTGGTTGGAGTTTGGCTTACAAAGAAAAACGGTGGTTGAGTTGTTGGGTGTCAGGCTGATTTGCAGGCCTCGTGAACCGTTAGGCATACCCACGCGGGTCACGTCGCGCAGGTCGCGCACCTTCGGAGGCCTCAGTCCACTGGCCAGCATCTGCACCAGCACCTCCACGAGACCGGTGTCCCGATACACAGACTCGAACTCCGAGTACGGGACAAGCGCCAGCCGGGCGATTTCAGTCACGGCCTCCGCAACTGCAGTATCGTAAACATGTACGTATGTACGTATGTATGTAGGGAAAGGAGGAAGAGGGAGGGGAGAGTCAGGTGCGGTGTGGGGTACCAAGGCGAGACAGGAGAAGTACGGCAAGTACGGCAGGCCGTACATATTGTTAGTATGAGCCAGACAGGACAGGACGGCCCATGACGTATCAAAGCCACCTACCGACCTACGGGCTTGGGGTGATGATCAAATGCCTAAACGCGTTTGGGCGTTAGGGGGGTTGTGTGGGCCGAAGTACGCGTTTATAGGTTCGAGTGCATCTTGTTTAAATCTTGAATTTTTATCCTTCAATTCTGGATTTGAATCTGGATTCTCTGGACTCTCTGGATTCAGCCCTACCTCACTTTTTCCCTTGGGCATTCTGGCGGCCAGAGAGCCCCACAATGCCTGCCCCTTGTCCCTGCCACCCCCCATCCCACCTAAAACTAGCTTGCACCTTCCCGCCGTACATCGAAACCCCTTCCCCTGGTTTCCCCCCTCCCCCAACACCCCTCGCCCACCTCGCACTCGCATTTCCGGGTGCCGTGCAATAGCCCCCGCCCACATGCCGTGCAGACGCGCCATGTACGGCCCCAGGCTGCCTGGCTGAAGGGAGGCGTACGACACGGTCGTTGACAGATGACATGTACGGATGGTGGACCTGCGGCGGGGCGGCGGCGGGGCGGGGGTGGCGGTGTCATGATACACACGCAATACGATATACATTCCTTCACATCGCCATTGCCCCATCATCCCCATCCTCATCCTCGTCATCGTCGTCGTCATCGTTTACAACATCCGAGGCGTGTTGTTGACGGCGGCTGCCGGTTGTTCTGGCGGGCAGAGACATCAAGATATAAAACATCAATAAACCAAAACCAGTCCCCCCAGTTAACACGCGAGCCTAAACCCCCCCCCTGCCCGCCCACTCCCCTCACACTAGTCTTCACAATCCCGCAGCCAACTCTAAAATTCCAATCCCCGACTACAAGCCCATCAAGACATACAGACATACAGACGTACAGACGTACTTGGAAAACTGTTGTAGGGTCGCCAGGGACTGCATCACCGCGCAAAGCAGCTCAGATTGTAGCAACAAGGCGTCCAAGACGCTGACCGTGTCGCCTTCGCCGGGCTGCGCCACCTCCGGCGGCGCCGCCACCGTCGCCTCCGGCGACCCGCGGTTAGACGCCGCTTGGGCCTTACTGCCGTACGCTGTGCCTGGCCGGCTGTTCGGCCCCGCTGGCAGCGTCAGCGACGCCGCCGCCGCCGACATTCGTACGACACCAGGACCCAAGACATCGGCGTCAACAGGATCGAACAAGATCGACGACACCACCTGGTGTACGACACGCCGAGATTCGTTCGCCAGCGGCAGCGATACGGGTGCTGTCACGTCCCCGGGCGCCGCGGCTGTGGTGTAGTAGTACCCACCATCGGACGTCAATGCGACGGAGGCGTGTACGGGGCCAGCGCCGCCGTGGCTGTTGCGCGCGATACCGACGGCGCCGCCAGCGCTACTGCGCGTCATGTTCTTTTCCCTGAGCAGTCGCACTAGACCGATCCCGTTCCCGTCGCTGTCCTTTGGGCTAAAGGCGGACTGCAGTTGAGGGGAGACGCACCGAATGTTCTTAGACATGGGTGATGTGAGAGAGGATATCGTCGAGTCATACAACTTTAGCGTTAAGTAAATCTCACATGGCGGCCAAGGCGGCTGGATCAAACAGGGCATCGCACCCGGTCCGGGCTTTGGAGTTCGGGAGGAAAGGAAGCCGAGGATGCTGGAGTTGGGGAAGAAGGGAAACAGTTGTGTTGTAGCCTTAAGGCTCGGTGTAGCCTTAAGGCTCGGTGTACCCTTAAGGCCGTTAAGGGCGAATGTAAAGGAGAAGTACTTGCCAGAGGAGAAAATCTCCGTCTTGGATCTATACATGTTATACTTTAATTACTGACAAATATTTGCGCCACGACACAACCGCTGATCGATCCTTGACCCATACATATCTTTTTCTCCTGCTTTTCTGCAAATTATTTCCCACTTTCCTAATAAGCCATCCCAGTCCCCAAATCCCTTTCGTAGTCCAGTCCACTAACAATCACTCACTCAACACTCCAATACAAGAAATGCCTGCTTAGATACACTCCCTATTGCATTACTCTAGGTTTTACATCTTCATGATGACGTAATGTAGCGGATGTTTTCCGTACCATTCGCACCTGAATGGTGCCGTACATTGACTCCCGTGAATACCGCATCAGTCGGGCGTTGGCTTCGGTGGGAAGGGGTTTGGGAACTCCGCCACCGCCCAATCCATTGCCGTACCCTGCTGCCGTACTGGAGCCTACTCGTCCGAGACCATTAACGAGGGTACTGCTGGGGCCGCCGCTAAGAACGGACCTGTCCAGGTAATGCGCCCAGGGATTTGATGAGTCCAGGGAAGGAAGCGGGAGGCGGGCAGAAAAATAGCAGACAGACAGACAGACAGACAGACAGACAGACAGACGCAGATAGACAAGACATACGTGGTATGGGAAAAAGGGAGGGAGGAGAGAAAGGCAAACTGCCAAAAAATGACAGGGTTGCGCATAATCGAACGAACGACCGAACAAATCATCGTACCAGACATCATCATAAAGACGCGTGGTCGCGGGTCTGCTACGGAGCTCGCTTCGGTGTGAAATCACTTCCTGTCTCCCCATATCGCCATTTCCCTCGTCGCGGCTCAGAAGATCAGTAAAGCAGCAGAACGCTTTCATTTTGGCGGGAGGGGGACGGAGCCCCCCCTGCTGTCCCTTTTCATCACATCCACACCCAGCTACCTTTCCGCGATTGGTGCAGAACCGACGGAATGAGCAGAAGAAGGCCGCGCCGCCGCCGCCGCCCTCGCCGCCCGGCCGCCCGCCGCTGCCGTACCTCCGGCAGAGCTGGGCCGGCTCGCCGCCAACATGGCGCTGCCAGCTGATCTGGATCTAAATCCGGCGACGGCGCCGCCGCCGCCGCCGGCGTATGCAGAGCTTGCGGGGTTGATGCTTGTCGGGGGCGATGGCGATGGCGGCCAGATGTCAGCGGCGGTGCCGCCACCGCCATCCCGCGGCCGACCCAGGAGCTGCCGTACCAGCGCCGAAAGGTTCAGGACCGACCCACGGGTCACAGGCGTCAGCGCACGCGACAGCTGACCCAAAAGATGCCCGGCGGGGTGGGAGGGGTCCTTGGCCAGAATGCTACGAGAAGCGGGTCGGAGGTTGTGCGTCGCCGCCACAGCAGGCGGCGGCGGCGGCGGCGTGTTGTCGTCGCCTGCAGCAGACGCAGGACGCACGTGACCGTTGGCATCGTGGCCGTTGCGGCGGTTGTTGCTGTTGGGGGCGATGGCGGGTGTGGCGGGCGCAGCCTGCGCGGGAAAGGCCTTGAGGAAGGCGGCGTGGCTGTCGGAAAGCGCCGACATAGCCGCATTCATACTCTGCGAGGCCACCGGGAGGAGGGAGGTTATCAGAAATGAAGGGAACATAAAATCACAACTCGAGGGTAAGGGGTTGGGAGAACGGGTGAAGTATTAACAAAAATCACTCTTGCAGCAAATGGAGGCAAGGAGAAAAGGAGGAAAGGGGCAAGATAAACATTTAGTATGCTCGGGGCGAGAATCGATATTGCGACATGTGGGCGCTAACACATTCTAAAAGGTGCTAACACGAATAGGTCAACGCCATATGACATAAGCATGACCAGAAACCAGCATCCCACCAGCCCTCCTCTGTTCTTTCCTCCCCCCCAACGCACACACAAACCCACCTCAATTTTGTCCTGTAAGAACCCCACAAGCGCCTCGGAGTCCCCCAAAGCCGCCTCCAGGTCACCAGCCTCCTCGTCCAGAGCCTGGAACATGGCAGGAAAAGAAGAAGGTTCCAGGGTTTTTCAGGTTATACATCGAATTAAGGATTTTCTCGGGCGACGGCTTGTAGCGTTTCGGAATATTGGCAAAATCGCGCTTACGTCGGGGGCTTCTTCAGGAGTGCAAACATCAAACTGCTGATGTCCAAGCTTCAAGGCATCGCCGATACCATTACTCTACGTCTCGTCGAGACCTACTAGAGTCGTACCTCTCTACGCAGAGTTTAATATTGTCGGAGTTGATGCCGGGGGGGGTCCCCCAACATCGCCCGCGTTCCTCTTGATGTGATTTGATGCAAAACGGCGAAAGGCAATGCCGTACAACCAAAACGTTTGGGGTTACCAAGACTGGGCTAGAGCATGTACGAAAACACCAAGAGCCATACTGTCATACGGCTGTACATCTCCGTACCTCTAGCCGTTGCTCTACGTCTTCCTGCCGTACGGTCCGTGACAGGCCATTACCCGGGCCCAGCTCCATGCCCGCGGCCCGTGGGCTCCCCTCGGGCAGCGGCAGCTCGAGTTGGAGGGCCTTACGCAGTTTGGCGGCCTCAGCGCAAATCTATATGTCCCAAAAGAAAGAGAAAAGGAAAGGAAAGAAGGAAGGAAAGAATGACGTTTTTGTGTCCATGAAGGTCTAACACGCATACGATCGCACCGAATCGACAAGTGCAACTCTGTGTAGGAATGTGTGTTTATATGCTTTAAATCTGAGTGGCTTCCTCATCGGGGCACCTCCCCCACCCCCCCGCACCTTTCGGAGACGGAATTCCGCTCTGCGGTTTATGGAGCCCAGTCCCTCCGCCTCCCGGCGTAGCTGAGTGGCGGCGCCCTCCAGTGCAGCCGCCAGATCGGGGTGCAGAGCCAGGTCCCCGGCCAGCGCGGCCAGCTCCTTCGAGATCGACTGAACGCCGCCCAATACCGTGTACAGCTGGACCTGCATGGACGCATGAGGCAAAAGACAACGCGAAAAAAAACAATTTGAAACTATGATGATGATAATGATGAAGATGATAATGATGAAGATGATAATGATGAAGATGATAATGATGAAGATGATAATTGTAACAAAGCAAAGGCGTAACCCGGGATGCTCAGTTGGGCCTTGCGTCGTTACATTGCCCCCCCTTTAGCAATGGACGTCCGCGGCCATTATATCGAGCATTGGAGCCATCCCACCTCACGCATTGTGCGCTGGTTTATCCATTACCCATGATATCGCTTTCTGCGATACCTGCTTGTTGTCAGAATCGAACCACCGACCCGAAGATTTCATCGGAAGTCGTGCGGCCCCGTCTCGATACCATTGTAACAAAGCAAAGGCGTAACCCGGGATGCTCAGTTGGGCCTTGCGTCGTTACAATAATGATGAAGATGATAATGATAATGATGAAGATGAAGATGAAGATGATAATGATGATCATGGTCACGACCAAATACTAGATGATAAATAGTGGTTAGGAGGAATGATGGCTATTTATTGAACACTGTTGCCGGTTGCGGACTGCCACACGCGCACATCCTCTCTCCCCGAGTGATGCCTGCATAAATGACCTAGGACCCCCACCTAACGGTACAAGTACCACCACGAGTCACGAGTCGCGTGTCACGTGTCATGCCACCCCCTCCCCAGTCTCACCACCGCCTGCACCAGTCCGGACTCCAGTAATTTGGCCTGTACGACCGCCACATGCTCCCTACTAGGGGGGGGTGATGTTGGGTGTGCTGATGAAGGCGGGCCCGAGGGGGAAAGCGAGGGTGGAGAGGATGCGCCAGTTTTCGGGCTGCTGCTACCGCCGCTGCTGCTACTGTCGCTGCCGCTGCGAAGGGGGTTTCCTTTTGCTGCTAGGAATGCCAGCACCTGGGGGTGTCGGGATTATAGGAGGTTTTAGAGGGGGTTTAGGGTTTTAGAGGGTTTTAGGGAATGGGACCGGGAGAAAATGGGGTTGTACGGGCACTGACAAAGCAGCTTTTCACGTCCTTCTGCAAACTTGCACTACACCTTGCTGTAACAGGATTCATTCCCCCCCCATTCATACATATAGGATAGGTTGTACATTCTGTTGATCTGCAAACATCCGTACAACAATGTACGGCATGTCATCATGTATACCTGTACTTCATTGCAATTTTCCGCCATAAATATATTCTACCCAAGCAAAAGACTACCCTCAGGGTTCTCGTCCCCCCAATCGGCCCCCGACCCATACCCACCCATACCCACCCCTCCCCAATGTAACACCAGGCAAAGAGTACTCAGGGAGATGCCAAGGGAGCTGAACCCTTCTGACATCCCCATTCCGCCCCACGCCTCCGCAACACATTTACCTTTGTTAGCATGGGGAGGTTGGGTTTTGATGTCTTCACTCTGCTGGGCTTCTTGAACCCGTACTGGTCGCGCCAGATCTGCAAGCAACAGCACAGCGAAGAGCAGGTGGACATACATGCAACACAACCCGTGAGACGTCCGCGATTGTGTATGTATGTATGTATGTATGTATGACTTAGATTACACTGTGGGCCGCGAGAGCCGGGGGCCGAAGCCGAAACACAGCGCAAGGGTCGGGAGCACACAGCACACGTCGGTTAGTCTTGTGTGCTCCCGACCCCGACTCAGACTGCCAACACTCTACGCAGCCACTCCGCTGCCCCTCCATCCGGGGATGGCGCTGCAGTGAAAACATCACGAAGGGCTCTCAGGTCCCGCTAGAGCGAGTCCACAAGTCTCAGCTAGGGCAAAGTCAAAGGCTCTCTGAGACAACCCCCCAAAACACCACCAACGAAAACGGGATCCTAAGGGAGGAAAACAAACAAACAAAAATTCGGTTAGGGCAGTCTCGGCAGGGGAGGGCTCCTGATATACCTAACAGGCCAACAAAAAACCTCCAAGAGAGAAAGGCTAAGAGAGCTCGACACCACAAGACGTCTTGCAACCACCTTAAAACAACTGACTTCCACCACCTGTCCCTTCCTGGGCTGGTCCAGGGGATAAGTAGCCATATAAAGAAAAGGGACCACGCACAAGCCCGATCACCACTGCAGGGGCCCGGGATAGACCGCCGAAACCACAAATGTATGACGTTGATTACACTGTGGGCTGAAAAGCCGGGGGCCCAGGGCCGAAGCACAGCGCGGGGGGCGGGTGCATACGGCTGGTTAGTCTCATGCACTCCGCCCCCGGGTCAGGCCGCACGGGAAACGACGGCCGGCACGCAACAGCGCAAATGTATGTATGTATGTATGTATGTATGTATGTATGTATGTATGTATGTATGTATGTATGTGCTCTCCCAGGAAGGGTGGGTTACGGACTCAGTAGATCTCTCTCTGAGCGCTGCGTGTGAGATGCGAGGTGTGAGGAGGTGGCTTAGGAATTCCAAATCAGGCGACCTTCTTTGCGTTGTTCACGCGTGTGGGGGAAAAGCGCGCTGTCGCCATTGTTGTTGCTACCGTTGCTGCTGCTACTGCTGCCGTACTTGTGTACGGAATTATCAGCAATGCGTTCTGATTTTTTCTGAGATTTTCGTCATCAGGTCCATTATCGAAATCCTGCGAGCGCTATTTCTCCTGTGAGCTGCAACCTCCCCCCCCTTCGACGCAGGCTGAGACCTGACACAGGCGCACCCATCCCCCCATTGACCTGCAGGCTGGACTTCAACCTTGTCATCCTGTCGCTCTGCCAGCGCAGCGGCGCCATCTCCCGCCGTAACGACGCCACAGACTCCTGCAACTCCTTAACCGCTGCTTCCGCCGCCTCGACAGCATATCGATGCTCAGACACCTCCTCAACGGCGGCGGCCGCCGCCACCTCAGCCTCCCGCCGGGCCTGACGTAGAGCAGCGCCGCCGCCGCCAACCCTGCCGCCGCGCTCAGCTGCCGCCGCCGCCGCTGCGGCCTCCGCCACTTGGTCGTGCGCGTTTGCTTCCGCCGCCTCCGCCACCTCGAGCCTCCGTACAGCAGTCTTCACCGCGACACGCGCCTCCGCCAGCTGCTGCCGTCGCTCCTGCAAATCCGCCTGCAGCTGCTCCAGCTCCAATCTACATCATGAGACACGAGTACGGCGCGCGGGAGGGGTCCGTGAGGAGGCAACGGGAAAATCCCCTTCCCCTGGGGACGGCGATTATTAGCAAGTGATGGGATAATAACTCTTTCTTGTGAGTTCGATGTGCGTTCTATTTATTTCTTTCGGACAGCCTTCCCCCAAGCCACACATCCCTGAATATTGTGCCGTGACGTGGATACATGTGCCGTACAACGCAGGATAAGGAAAGGCCAAACGACGGCCCCTCAGGCAGCGAGCAGTTAGCTCACAGACCTCACGCACCGGTTCCTATCCACCACCGCATCCGCATTGCTCGCCGCCGCCGCCGCCAGGTCCTCCCCCAGCCGCCGCAAGTTCCCAGACTCCACAGCCACATAGCTCACCAGGCAACCCAACACGTCGGTTTCCTGTGTGCGGCCACACAGCACCGCCGGCGTCCACAGATGCCATTGAATGATGAAAAAGATGAGGAGAGGCGCGAGAGGCGAGGAAAATTTTCAAATGCAGGAAAATGCATTGCTGCTGCTGCTGCAGCACCGGAGTACGGCAGTACGGCAGTACGTCTCTCCATTCATCACACCGGGATATGCGGCGGATATGCGGAAGAGGACGGCGGGGTAAAAAGAACGGAGGCGGAGGCGGGTCGCCCCCCCCCCCAAAGTCCCACAGGAAAGGACCCCCGACACCGTCACACAACTCCTGCACTCATTCATTGTTCGGCGCTAATATATATGATATTATTTTTTTTCATTATATGATTCATATTCATTATACTATATATATATAATATATCATATATATTCATTGTTCGGCGCTAATGATTCTACCTCTTAACTAATCTGTCCCGTCCCGTCGTTCAGACGATACCGAAAACATCAGTCTGTTTGGCCCATGGTGCCCTCCACGGGCTCTTTGAGAATATGATAACGGAGGAGCAGTTGAGGACAACTTAATTCCAAGAGGAGGGCGGGTATAACCCCATGGAGCCATCCACGTGCCGTACTGACTCTGCACACATTCCCAGAGGTACATGTATGTATGTATGTATGTATGTATGTATGTATGTATGTATGTATGTATGTATGTATGTATGTATGTATGTATGTATGTATGTATGTATGTATGTATGTATGTATGTATGTATGTATGTATGTATGTATGTATGTATGTATGTATGTATGTATGTATGTATGTATGTATGTATGTATGTATGTATGTATGTATGTATGTATGTATGTTGTTACAGGGTGGTTAACTTCGCCAGCGGCCCCCTTTCCCGGGGCAGTCCCTGCTCTCCCCTGCTAGAGGGGCACCCTAATCCGTCACCCCATCCGACTTCAGAATGTATTCGTTGAGTTCGGCAACTCACCACCAGCATCCAACCAAATCTAGCGGATCAACGGCGCATCAACTTAGTTCCTGGTCAGCTCGCAAGTTGATATTATCACGTCCTACACCGTCCATAAGATGGGGGGCCACCTCCCATTTCATCACTCCTCAAACACCCGAGGAGCCGGCAGGCGGATTTGAACCCGGGTCGACTGGGTCAACTGGGAGCAGAAGTCAGGCCTTAACCTCTGCCAGCCGCCTGCCTTAAGACGCGCGCGCACTGGGGATTGAACCGGCGACTTGGTGGACAGACTAGAGCGCGCTGTTCGCGCGAGTGGGCCGTATCTCCGTTGCTGGCTGATGTATGTATGTATGCATGGTCACTACCTCACACAGTTGGGAAAAAGAAATGGTAAATTTATTAAAGAAAAACGATTCGATTTACACTGCAAGTCCGTATCGTACTGTCCGTACCTCCAGGCTGCGCTCCAGGGAACGTGTGAGCCCGGGGGCCAGTCTCGTCACCGGCCACCCGGGGTTGGGCGCCAACGTGGCACACCGCAGCAACAGCTCCGCAGCGTCCGCGGGAAGCATCACGTCCGACGGCAGGTCGGGGTCAATGCAGCGCTCGTACAGTACGGAAACAGCCTGCAGGAAATCTGCCGTACATATTTCGACGTACAGATCCGGCGTGCTCTGCGCCAGCGTCATCAGCGCCAAAACACACGCAGCCGAATCCCGGGGCGTCGGGACGGCGACGGCGGCAGGGGTGGGGCCAGCGGCGCCGTCGCCGTCGTCTGTACGGCGCCCGTGGGGATTTGGCCTGGCGGCGGCGGCCGCCAGCAGCGCCGGCACGATGCGGCTGTCCAGAATGTACACGTCGTTGGCCTGAAGGTCGTTACCAGTTGTAGGTTAATCGGTTGGCGCTGCACAATACGTTTTTTCGGTTGGTACCGCTAACTAAACCCTAGCAGAGCCCGCCAAATCGGTTTTGACGGCTGTTGCGGGCGGCGCGCATTATTTCTTTCCATCATTCCCTCCCCCCCACCCCCCACCCTATAGTCGTTCATGCCGCTGCCGCTGGCATAGTTTCAGCCCTCCAGACAATTTTCTGTTGTACGTTTCTGTCGTACCCGCAGTACCGCAGCCCTTAGGTCTTGCGTTTTTCAGCTGCGGAAGTGGTACGGGTACGGGAATGTACTGCAGAATACGACCCTCAGGTCCCGTACGTCCTCTCATCGACATCTGAACCGCAACTCCCCCACCGACATGACCTTTTCTTACATTCTAATTTACTCCCCTCAACCCGCCCCCCAAAACACACACACACATTCCTCAGCCCCTACCCATACAGGTCCGCTTGCCCGTATGGCTGATGCCTCAAAAAAAATCCCAACGCCCCACAAGGCCCCGTTTTCGGTTTTCGGTGGTCCATGCCGTACATACCTGTGTGATGTACGGCGCAGTGATGGCCACCACGCGCGCTGCCGCCAATACCACTCGACTGTTGGTGGTGGCGGTGAGCACATAACCTTGGGGGGAGGGGGGGAGGCGGTGGAAACGTGCCACGGTATTACGGGGTAATAACCCAGAAGGTGGATCGCCAAGAAAACACGTCCCCGAGTGCGTATGTATGTCTGTGCGTCGTGTGTATGTGTGTGTGAAGCGTGTTTTTAGGGGGCTCGCGGGTGAAAAGCAGCAGGGCCGTGGCGGGAGAGGGGGTTAAACCGCACTTGCGGCACCTGCGGCTCGTTCAGCAGGTCGGTGGAGGAATATCCCACCCAGGCCCACCTCCTCCCGTCGCAACAAAATCGTTTCCAGCATTCCACACACATACACGAATCATATGTTCAGTTCATTTAAACACACATGGCTCATGGTGCCGACTGGATCTGTCCTGTACGACAGCAACATCGTATTATATCATTCTCTGGGTGCATCGCTCAACACCGTCAGAGCCATAATTGCACAAGAGCTCTACAATGTATTCAAGTGCTCAAATCATCGCACACACGTAACCCAGAGGCCTCCCCCAATCTGGCACTCTCCCCGCAAAGAAAACACATTTCCCCTCTCTTCCCCCCCCACACGCACTTCCACTCCGGCTTCCCCCCTTCACTCCGCAGCACAAGCAGATCCAGCGAAAGCACATCAGCCAATGTGGAAATCCTCCCATGACGACCGTTTTACAGTATTTTTACAGTCCAAAACCTTTTCAAAAAAGGAAACCTCACCGATTTGGTCTACCACTTGCGGCCGCAGCAGAGCTGCTCCCACCACCTTGAGGTGCGGCGGCCGCACCGGCGCTGCGTGATCCTCGTACGACGCAGTGGACAGCAGCAGCGCAGCGAGCGCCATAAGACAAGCCTCCTGCGCGTGCCGTACCATACCGTTTTACCACACCGTACGGCGCCGTACGACATTGAAAGGAGGAAATTCCAGCTAGACCACAGATGCAGACCCACAGATACAGACACACATACAGACACACCTGCACGGGCAACTCGTCGTCCACCGCTAAGACATCGGTGAGGCTCTCCACCACTCCGAGGTCTGTCGCTAGGCGAAGCGCCTCCGGGCCTTTGGCGGGCGGCAAGAATGACGTCAAGGCACCCAACCCCTGAGCTGCTAAGACGCGCGTGGATGTGTTTGCGCCGTACAGCTGGCGTAGGTAGCTGTAGGTGGAGGTGGAGATGAGGGTTTGCGGAGGGTTCCGAGGGCGGGGGCAGCGGGCGGGGTGTAGAGGGCGCAAGATGATTTGGAATGTTGGGAGGCGGCGGCGGCGGCGAAATGGCGGGCGGCCGCGTGCTTGCATAATCGCAGTTTCGCGGTAGGTGCGATGTGAGAGAGAGATTCAGCGCACGCGCGCTGCAGTTGGGATAGACGCCGAGTTGGAGATCAAATCTTGTTTAGATCTGAGCGTGTCAGCGCGTGTGTCTGTTGTATAATTCACCCTCAGGCTACAGGCGATGCACGAATGCTAATCCTGTAGTCACGGACGACCAAACCTCGAGGAGCATATTTGAGCTCCCCACATGGATATATCGTAGGGAATGGGGATATATTCAAATATTCAGTTATCGCAGGCAGTGAGGGGGGCTAGAGCCGTCCCGGACCGTACCTGTCGACGATGTCCTTGAGGCGAGCGGAAGCGCTCGCAGGGCTTTTCCCATTGCGACCAAGGCCATCGGAGCCCCTGCCGTTCGAGTCAATTTGGCCTATCGCATCCAGGATTGTCGACCCAGCGCGAGAGCTATAGTTCCGCGCGGCGTCAGCTGGCATTGTGTGTTAATATGCGATGGTGGTGAGCTGAACAAATATATCAGTGGTTTATATAAACATAAGGTTGATGATGCACCTCTAAGGCTGTAGGAGCACTGTCGACTGCGCTTCTAAGGGTTGCGTCCCATAGTGTTTGTCGAGAACGTCCCAAACGAGGATCACAAGTCGACCGTGCCGCTTGAATAACTATCCAGCGCTGAAGAACACTACGCTTGGATTAGGTGCCTCGCACGGCACAGATAAAACCAACTTTATGTCCTAAGAGGTCGACATCCTGCCATGCATATGTAATGTCCATTGGTCAACAATGTTAATAATATTAGGTTGTGGACCAGAATTGTGTCGTTCTGATGACCCAGCGAGTTTAGGAAGGTGTTCTGACGCATTTGTTGAAAGGTTGTACTACTGATGAACTACATTACTTTTGCGGCCCATCGTTTTACTTTTTCCATGAATTGTCCTGCTTAGCATTTTTGGCTGTTTAGGTAGGAGCGTGTGTAGCCTGTACCAAAAGGAACAGTTGATCAGGACAGAACCCGCATCATGTGTGCGAGATCTACATGCCTCTTGTAACTATTGCACTAGGATTTGCCTAAGAAATCTTCATCTTTTGGCAAAAATGGCTGTCGCGGGTGTCACAGAGGCTGCAAAGTATGCAGAGAACCTGCGTCAGCAGTTGATGAATGACTTGTTCGAGGGAGATGACTTGGAAACAGACGTGACGCCCCTTGGCGAGAATGTCAGCGTTACTGACTTTTTGGGAGAAGGAGGCGTAATTAGCCTTCAGGACGTTGACAAGGACTTGGAGGAGTTCCAGGACCATGATGTAATCAAAGGTATCCTTGAGCAGGGTCGTGTCGTAAAGGAGTACGCCCGGGATATCGATGACAAGCTGCGGACGGTTGAGCTTGAGTCCATCCAGGACTACATCCAGGAGAGCGACAACATGGTTGAACTGCACAATCAGGTTTGTCTTTGGGAGGGTACCTGAGCTAAGCCAGGGGAAGGCATGGCAGGCGTACTCCTCGCCCTGTCCAGTGAGCCTCGATTAGGGCGCGGGGGCTTACATCTACACACCCCTACTTACTATGTCTGCAACCTGAGCTTTAATTGTCGCCCCCGATGTACCTGCTTGAGCTGCCGACTGGCCAAAGGCGTCCGTGACTACAGGATTAGCTCCCAGGGTGACCGACCGGCTCCGGCGCTAGGTTCATGCTGTCACCCCAGGAAGCTACAAGACGTCTGTTCACGGCTGCCTGCATCACATGCTCTACCCTTCTCAACGTCACGCATGATGGGTGACCATTAACAAACAAAGCCGGGCTGGGGGCGATACACCGCTATAGAGACCACGGGACAATCCCCATTTCCCCGCGAGCCCCCTATCGAACCCCGGCCCCATCCGCTCTCCCCTACCCTCTCCTCGCCGCCCGTCCCTCACGTCACCTCCGCGTGCGCGTTACCTCCACTGACTTCCTCCCCGCTCGCCTTTTGTCCTTTCCTCTTCGCCCCCTTCAGATCAAGATGTGCGATTCCATCTTGTCGGGAATTGAGCAGCTGCTGGGCAGGTTTCAGTCGGAGCTGGGCAAGGTGGGTGGGCAGGGCGCGACTGGCAGCGGATGCAGCGGGGCTGTTGAGGACTCTTTCTGAGTTAGGGCACACACACGCCCATGTGTGCGCCAGACGCCAACGGCGGCCCCCTGGGGGGCGGACCGGGGCGGGGCCCCCTGAGGCTGCGCTTGCATCGAACCCCGATGCGGTCGCGAAGAGCCGGAGACCTGGGTCCGTGGGGTCGAGTGCCTCGGATCTGGTTTTCCGGATCTGGGGCACTTGCTGGCATGGGAACGGGTTGAGAACGGCGGCGGGTCAAAGAAGCTTGGCTGCGTTGGTCGCTGTCCCCGGCTGCGGCTGCTGCTGCTGCTGCTTTCCCGTTCCTTGCTCCCTAACCTGGCTGACCTCGGTGGAGAGTAATCCTTACAGCGGCCTTTGGGAGGATAGGGGGAAGCGCTTGCGATGGGGTGGAGGAATGGGCCAGTGGTGAATTCACATGAGCCTGTTCATGGAATGATAGATAGCCTGAGCGTCTGAGCTTTTTCGTCCCCACGTCTGATGTCGAACAAACAGCTCGAGAAGCTCCTTTGTTTGTTTCCCCCTAGTTGACGTCCTAAATTCAAATCCTTTGGGGGGTTTCTCTAATTCAAATTCATAGGGGGGGTTCCTAAATTCAAATGCTTTGGGGGGTTTCTCTAATTCAAATCCTTTGGGGGGTTTCTCTAATTCAAATTCATTGGGGGGGGTTCTTTGATTCAAATTCATTGGGGAGGTTCCTAAATTCAAATCCTCAGGGGGCTGAGGCCTCAGCTGCGTTTCCGCTGCCGGCTGATGGTGGTGATGTCCGCAGGTGGGTGAGGAGATCCGGCAGCTTCAAGTTCAGTCGCAGTCCATGGGCACCAAGCTCCGAAACCGACGGGCGGCTGAGGCCCAGCTGGGCTCCTTCATCGAGCAGCTGCTGATCAGCGATGAGCTGGTCACGTCCATCATGGACCACGAAGTAGGTACGGGGCTTGGGGGGGAGAAAGACGAACCACGAACGAGTGAAGCTGGGGGGAAGAGAAAGACGAAACACAGGCGAGTGATGCTAATACTAATACCAGAGGGAGACGGATACGCCAGGACGACGGGGAAAGGGGAGGAAGGCGTTGAGCTGGGTGGTTGGTGGTCGAGACCTGGAAAAGAGTTGTGAGGGCTGAAGCAGCGGCAGGAAAGCGGAAAGCCGAAGGGCTCTGTGAGGAAGAGAGTAGGAAACTGGGATAAGGAGGGGGGACAGTCGGCGGAAAGGAAGCAAGCAAACTGCATGGAGGAAGAGCAGCGCCTCTTGCCCCCGTGGGCCCCTCACCTCGTTCACACACAGCTGGTCGTAAATAGCTTGGAGGATCTTTTCACGGCGCCCGCCGCCATTGAGACCGCTCCCACCTGGCGGAGGAAGAGGAGGAGGCGCGACACCGTGATGGTGCTGTCAGCTGTGGCTGTGTGCCGGTGGCGGTGCTGGTTCCAGTCATCCTGGCAGCGGAATGGCGACCACAGCAGCACCTACACTAACCGCACTAACCCAGTGGTCCATTAGTCCGTGTCTCCATTCCCTCCTTGATGCCGTGGCTCGTGGCCCGTGTGGTGGGTGTCACCATGCCACGTCTTCGCGTACCCTAGGTCCTCTCGCTGCCGCTGCCCCTCCTCCCCCTCCTCCCCCTCCTCCTCCCCCTCCTCCCCCTCCTTCCCCTCCTCCGCCTCCAGGTGAATGAGGAGTTCATGGAGCCCTTGCTGGCGTTGGATCGCAAACTCAACTTCCTGCGGGACGACCCGGTGGCGCGGGGGTCGCTGGCCAAGCGCGACGTGGAGAGCGCTCTGGAGAAGCTGCGCATCAAGGCGGTTACCAAGGTGAGTGCGTGTGTGTGTGAGTGTGTGTGTGTGAGTGTGAGTGTGTGTGCACACAAAGCCACACACTACCCCTCTATCCTTCCCCCCTCTCTCTCTGCAACCCTTCTCTTTCTTATTCTCTGTCTTTTCTATCTTTTCTCTATCTTTTCTCTATCTTTTCTCTGTCTTTTCTCTGTCTCCGTCGTGAGCTCTCTCTCGCTATCTGTGTAATGCACGTGTGTGCGGGGGGGATGGGGGGGGAATTTGCCAGTGCCGTGTTGCCCCACATCGCGCCCATCACGTAACACCCCCACCCCATCCCACCCCACCCCGCGCACACGTACACATACATGCATACATGCATACAGGTTCGCGACTTCATGATGAACAAGGTCTACCAGCTGAAACGGCCCAAGACCAACGTGCAGATCATCCAGCAGTCCGTGTTGCTCAAGTACAAGTACTTTATGCGCTTCCTGAGGGCGCACGGACCGGACGTGTACACGGAGGTGCTCCCGGGGTTTGGGTGTTAAGGGGATGTTCCCGGGGGGGGGATCTCGGGACGTTTGCGGTTGTGTTGCCGTTGTGAAAACACGTTGGGGAACAGTGTGGGCCGAAGACGACGGGGGGATGGGTGCTTGGCGGGGCGGAGGGGGCAGGAGACGGGGTTGTTTACCTCCCAAAGCACTCTTATTTGCCGTTCGCAACACATTCCACACACTGCCGAACCGTCTTACCTCCTCCCCTCTTCCTCCCCCCCTTCCTCCTCCCCCTTGGCATCAGCTTCACTCGTTCGTGGTTCGTCTTCCCCCCCCTTCCTCCTCCTTTTCCTCGTGTGAGGGGATAGAAGATGCATCTTCCTTACGCCCAAGGCCCATCACCCCAACTCCCCGCCTCTCCCCGCTCCGGGACACCAACATCTCTTGACACTTCTTCCTTTCTCTCCCCCCCTCCCTCCCTCCCTCCCTCCCTCTCTCCCTCCTTTCCTCCATGGGCCCCCAGATTCGCAACGAGTACGTGTCCGTGCTGTCCCGCATCCTGGCCTCGCACTTCCGCACCTACCAGAGCGCCATGGAGAAGATGCAGGCGGCGGTGGCTGGGGCCACAGACGTGTTGGGGGCGCCGGAGGGGGGCGGAGGGGGGGCCGGAATTACGGCGTTGTTCGGAAAGGGGACTGCACGGGCGACCACGGTGAGGCGCGCGCGTGTGGGGCGTGTGTGTGTGGGGGGGGGGGTTCAGGGGGGTGGGTAGACAAGAGAGGTTGATAGCGCGGGGGAGTCAGGGGCGGGGGCGGGCTTCCATCTCCCGGCGCTAGACTCCTCGGGCCTTCCGATTCGACATCAACTGAGATGCCACGACGCATGGGGGGAAGGAAAGACATGCCACTCTTTTGTTGCTGTACCAGCCTTACAACCCCTCTCCCGGCTTTACCCCTGCCTACCTGGCTGCTCGGGCAATATCTATCTGCCTCTAATATCTATCTGCCTCTAATATCTATCTGCCTGTAATATCTATCTGCGCGGTTTGCCTGCCTGCCCTGCCTACCCTGCCGATACATCCATCTTTGCCTGTCTGCCTGTCCTTATCTGTCGATCTGCCTGTCTGTCTGTCCTTATCTGTCGATCTGCCTGTCTGTCTGTCCTTATCTGTCGATCTGCCTGTCTGTCTGTCCTTATCTGTCGATCTGCCTGTCTGTCTGCCTGTTTCTTGCCTGTTTTTGGCTACTCCACCCCACCCGACCTCACCCGCCCCGGCCCGCCCCGCAGGAGGCCACATTCAGCCTGGGTGAGCGGGCAGCTATCCTGGACCAGTTGGATAAGCCACCCATCATCCCGCACCAGGCTGAGGACGCGGGGCAGAAGTACCCCTACGAGGTGCGGACGGGGGGGTGCGGAGGCGGAACGATGGGGGGAGATGGTGTGTGTGTGGGGGCGGGTTTAGAGGCCAGGGGGGGTTGGGGGGAAAGAGCCCCCCAGTCCATCAACCTGGGTGGTGGTGGTGGTGGTGGTGGTAGTGGGTTAGGCTGGGATGGAACGGGAGAAGTGATGTTGCCGGTTTCACCAGTCCCCCGTCTGTCTTCATGCCCCATGTTCTTCTTTTTCTTCTTACCTTGTTCTGTACCTGTTTGTTACGGTTCTCAGGTCATCTTCCGCAACGTGCACAAGCTGCTCTTGGATACGGCCACCTCGGAGTACCTCTTCTGCTGCGACTTCTTCGACGAGGACGAGGGGCTGCCCGTGTTCCGAGACATGTTTGCGCCTGTGGTGGGGGTGGTGGAGGGAGACCTGGTGCAGAGCCTGCAGGTGGGGGGCCCGGGTGGGGGGGTTGGGGTGGGGGGGGCTGTGCTTTGTGCTCATATGGTAGATAAACATGGTAAGAAGAACATACATACATACTTACTTACATATAACACATACATATAAATATATATATATATATATATATATATATATATATATATATATTTTTTTGTATGGTAGTGGGGGCCACCACACAGCACAGCGTATCACAGGGCAGCAAGAATGGAGGCGGAGGAAAGGCAAACCCGTGTCCAAGGAGGCGGGGTGTGCATGTTCCCGCTCTTGTCCTCGCCTATCTTCTCTTTCCTCCTCTCCTCTCCGCATACACACATGCGCACATTTGCACATACGCACACACCCGTGCAGAGCATTGGCGACCTGGTTTGCATCTTGTTGATGATCCGCATCAACCACGACCACCGCAAGCTCATGATGCGGCGCCGGGTGCCCACCCTGGACGACTACCTGGACCGGGTGCACCTGCTGCTGTGGCCGCGGTTCAAGGTAGTACGGCAACCGGGGGAGGAGGAGAGCGCAATATTGCGATAACAGGAGGGGAAGGGGAGGGGGGGGAGAAGGGGGAGGGAGGGGAGGAAGGGGAGGGGAGGAAGGGGAGGGTCTCCGAACTGGCCGGGCGAACCAGGAACCTGACCCGGTAGTGGATGAGCCTCCTAGGAGGCGGCCGCCTTTCAGCCCTGCACGTCCACGCCTACGCAGTAGCCCGCTTTTCAGGTTCGTTCCAGCCTTCGCTGGCCATGAAAGCAACCTTTTTCACATTAGGATTTTCACTTTTTACAGCGATGCATTTTAACATCTCTGCCGAGCCATCGGAGCATTTGCTAATATAATAACCTTGTTGTTGGATCGACATCTTCCCTTCCCTGTTTTTTGATTTGTTTAAAAGTACTCCCCCACTTCTTTCTTTTACCCTCCCCCCGTAGCTTCTGTTCGACGGACAGCTTCAGTCCATCCGCCCCGGTGTGGAGCGCTCCCTGTTCCTGGACTCCACGGGGGCACACTTCGTGACGAGGAGGTACGCGGCGCTGTCGTCATCCATGCTCGTGCTTATGGCGGGGTACGACAGCAGCGATCCAGGTGAGCCGTCCAGCTGCGAGCGGCGCGGGAAGACTGAGAGTTCCTGCGCATGCGCACCACCACCACCTCTCCCCTCCCCTCCTATCGGCGGCAGAGAATCGCCGCAGGACAACAATGCAGGTGCTATTTCTATCTGTGGACTTGTAGAAGAAGTGGGGGCCCTACCCGTCACCCTCCTCAGCTTACTTAAAAAACACATGCGTTTTTAACTTGAAGTAGCAGCTTTTGCAACTATTACACAGCAGTTCACTTGCATACATACGTACATACATGCATGCATGCACGCTTATACATCAGTTCATTATAAATAATCCGTGATAACCCAGGAAAAGGCAAGCCCCTTTTTCCCCTCACGCGCCTTTGTCCTCTCTCGCACATCTCTTCTCCCTCCCTTCCCCCCCCTCCCCTGCCTCCGCAAAAAAGGCGTGTTCAAGGCTCAATCCTTCGTGGACACGATGGAGCGAATGTGGCAGGCAATGCACGACCTGCTGTTGAGAATGTCCAATCTGTTCAAGGATCGACGAACCGGCATCATCTTCCTGATCGTGCAGTACAATCACATACACATCGCACTGCGTGCAGCGGCAGCCGGCAGCGTTGTCGGGGCCGGAGCCGTGACGGCGCTACTGGCATCGTCCGCTTCCGGCGGCGCCGCGGGTGGTACGGCACCCTCCACGACCCTTTCGTCATCCGCCTCCGGCGGCGCCGCGGGTGGTACTGCCGCCGGGCCGACGGCAGCGGCCGCAGCAGCGGCGACCGCGGGTTCTGGTGGTACGGCGGCTAGTGTGGGTATCGGCCGGACGGGTCGTACCAACCTGAAAGAATGCGAGGTGGGTCGGGTCGGGTGGAGGGGGGGATTCGCGGGGAAGCCTGTGTGGCTTGACAGGCTTACCACCCCTGGGGGCATGCGTGCCTCCCTCTCCTCTCCTCTCCGCCCCCTAGGACGTCAGTGGTTGCTCTTTTGTGCATGTTGTTTAGACCTCCTGATAATTGCCTCCCCTCCCCTTCCACTGTCCGGCGCGACGGCAGTTGGTGGTTTGGACGACTGCAGTTTCCCCTCGAACTTCATTTCCCCTCGAACTTCCCTTCCCTTGGAGTTTACCTCCCGTCGAACTTCGTGTCCGTTCAGGACCAGCTGGCGTCCTGCACGGGTCTGTTTGTTGACGACCAGCTGTCGGTCCACTTCCGCGACCTGGTGGACTGGGTCAAGAAGGCGGAGCAGGCGGCCAAGCGCAGCGGGGTGCCGGAGGGACAACACATACCGGGATACGCACCCGCACAGGCGGCGCCCATTCTTAGGGACTTTGCCGTCCGGTAGGTCGTGCTGGTAGTGGTGGTGGTGGTGGTGGTGGTTCCCCGTGTCGAGTCATCCTCTCAGGAAGGAGATGTCTTCCACCTCCTACCGGCCCGAGGCGACCACCAGCAGCACCAGCACCATAGTGGAGCACCCGCTGCCTCCCACTCCTCCCCGGGCTCGTCGTCCGGCCCCGTGTTGCCACCTTGGGTGTTGGCACTTGATCCTCTGCTGCTGCTGCTGCTGCTGCTGCTGCTGCTGCTCTTTTGTCTTGCATCATCATGATCACCATCACGAACATCACAATTACCACCATCACCACCATCACCGTCATCGCCATCACAATCCTTGCCATCACCATTATCATCATCATCATCATCATCATCATCACCATCATCATGATGTAAGTTACCCCTCCGTCCTCCCCCCGGGCTGTGTATCAGCTGGAAGGATGCCATCAAGTCGATGCACCTGGAGGTGGCGGCTCAGTTCGCGGAGACCAGCTGCGGAAGGGACGTGCTGCAGGCGTCCATGACCTCGCTGCTCAAGTACTACACACGGTGGGTCGGTGTGGGTGGAGGAACGGGGGGGCCAAGGGGGTTCTTACCGCGAATTTTTAATGGGGCAGAGCGGTGGGCGGTGACGAAGAAGAAGACGATGATGATGATGATGATGATGATGGTGATTTTCAAGATAAGGCTACTTGCGCCTTTCATCACCGTTATCGCTTGTGTCCCTTCTCATCACCATCACCTTCCTCCCTCGGCTGGCCCCGGACCCTGAGGATTCAGGACTTCAGGCAGGCGTATGAGTACATTAGCTACACCGGGACCGGTTCTTCGCCCTCCTCCTCCTCCTCCTCCTCTATTTCTTCTACTTCTGCTACTTCTTCTTCCTCCTGCTCCTCCACCTCAATGTTCCGCCTCTCCCGATTTTCTGCCCCGCGCAGTTTTCTGGAGCTGCTCAAGCGGCAGGGCGCCGACGGACTGACGCTGGTGCGCGAGGCCGTCAACGTGCCGTCTATCATGTACGAGATCAAGCGCGTCACCACGTCGTAGTCACGGCAGTAGCACTAGGGAGATACACGAGGCTCCTCTGCTGCTTGGTCCCGTCAGTCCTGGCGAGTAGGGTTTTAGCAGCTGCAGGGTTACTGGCATTACAGGCCTGTGACGCGCGGTGAGCATGTGAGCATGTGAGGGCATAGCCAGTAGCGCTGTAGACAGGTGCTCAGGTATGCTCGCGAGCTGCCGAGGATGAACTTGTTGTGCTTTGGTATCCTGTTAGCCCGATATCGGTCCGGTTGATCAAGTTTAACGGACTTGTAAGGATTTCACTGAAAGGTAGCTGTGTAAGGCGCTTAGGGCTTGAAGGAGCTGGGAGGAGGAAGGACTGGCTACCTGGCTGGTTAGCTGTTGCGGCCACGGGCTGCGTGACGTCTTGGAGGCACCGATGCCTCATAACTTTGGATATCTGTTGAGAGGGGACAATGGTTCGTTCCTGTTCAGGGCTCCAAGGTAGGCTCGGGCTCCTCCCTGCCGAACAGAGACGCTGCAGAAAGGCACAAGCGTTTGTGTGGGAGGTAGGGGAGCGGGACTGCTGCTGCTGCTGCTGCGGGGGTAGACCATGGGTAGACAGCCAATTTGGCAGGGTGTGTGCAAAAATTAAGTAAGGACCGCCTGCCTGTCTGCCTGCTTGATGTGTGTTTGAATACGATATGAATGAATGAATGAGTCGCGACAAGAAAGGAAAAGCGCGCCGTGTGAGCAGCAATGGCTCTCACGCGCGCAACCATCGTCCAAGAAGCTAACTGTTACATCGATGAAATCCCCCCGCCCCTTCCACAACGATGGAACTTACGGTGCTGGCTGCAGCAGGCGCAGTTGCAGTCAAGTGACTGCAACAGGCCGGTACCTGTACCTTGAGCAGCCCCTTGTCCCGCTGATTCCACCTCAATCAATGTCAGTCGCAATTACCATACACGATGTACCGCACATTTTATTGCAACTCTGCCACCACTACCACTAACATCACCACTTATGCTAAAGCGCGTGTCCACAACTGCCTAGTATGCGAGTGTGTGTGCTATACAATGAAACATCTCCCTGCACTCATGTTGACAGGGTTAGGGTTTTGTACTGCTACTCGTACTGCTACTGCCTACGTCAGTAACCTCCACTTCTCCGTCCACTTCATATTTACCTGGGCCAGAAGAAGTATTATATCCCATAGACCCCCATAACACCCCCCCCACACACACAACACACATAACACCGTGCTGCTCAGGGGGGTCTGGCAGCCCGCCCATACCGCCCCTCCTTTTTCTCACCACATCAAAAAATCCTCCGCACAGCGACCCTCCGTGCAGGCCACCCGCCCCCCTTAGGTCCAACGACACACATAACACAACACGTACAGCCCACAGCCCACAACGAACCTCCCCCAACCCATCCCCGGGGCTCCTGGGACCAGGACCAGCTGTGCCAGTCCGGACCTGCAGGTCCAGGGGGACCCGCGGCGCGTCACTCCAGGGAGCCTTCGGACTGAGCCACACCAGCCCCTAGGAGGAGGAAGGGGTACCCAGAAAGCCCGCAGCCCAACCCGGGGTTATAAAACACACACACATACGCACATACACGCGACCCGCCCCCATAGTCCATAGCCCACACCTTACACACTATATATGTTCAGCACCGTCTGCCATCCTGAACTACTATCAATTAAATATTATTGAAAAATTTCATCATATGTTTTATTTTTGGCAGCATTACATAACTATATATTTTGTGTTCTATTTGAGTCCAAAGCCCTGGGCGTTCTCGATGGCGGTCAGCAGCTTTGCTTTCATCTTGGATTTGGAGCAGTACTCGGGCAGCAGCAGCGCGTTGAAGCACGTGTGTGCTGTGGGCAACCGCTCCGTGTCGGCACTGATATGAAAAGTCAGCGGTAGGGGGAATCCAGGATTAAGTAAATAAGAAGTAAGTAATAGGGGAGGTTGCTATGCTGAAATTTAAAAAGTATATAAGAGCTAGTTAGTATCTCGATTACATTAAAATAAGAGATATCGGTGATGTTTGACATTACCATTTCTTTTAAATAAGCTAAATCATTTTCATAAGCAAAATATATTATATGTGTATACAATACTAAATATATCCGGTTGAGGGATGGGGGCCCTGGGGGCCACCAGCAGCGAATTGGCCCTCGCAGATAAACCAGATATCACAACATCCCTTGATGATGGGTGTCGAGAGATGGGCCAAGGGTGGCTTCAAGAGCCAAGGGCAGCGGCAGGAGGTGTGTATGACCACATCGGGCACTTGCTTACCCGGCCCTCTGAATGACCAGAACCAGGGCACCGAGTCCCGCCACAGGCGCCCTGTCGCACCCCGTTGTGAAGAAGAGGAAGCGCCGCTTCTGATCCAGATCAAAATCCGAAATGATCTGAGAAGGGGGGATGCGTACGGCAAAAGGTGTCTAGGGATGGTGGAAAAATGCAAGAACAATACTCTTTTTTTTCTTGCGTGATTGTTAAGCATTTAGTGGTCCTTCGGGTTCATCTGCTGGGCCGTACAGCTCGCTGAAGCTCAAGTGACACCCACCCCGGCCACCGCGCCCTGCCTGTCCACCCCTCACCTGCCAAAACATGACAATGGCGGGGTGCTGCCGGTGGTATCCCCCCTCGTAGCGGGCGTTCGCCTGCGAGTACGTGCACGCACACAAACACATGTATGTATGTATGTATATACAGGGCCCAGTTAAAGGGGGCGTGGGAAGAGGGCGGTAAAGGAGGTGTGTTGGGGGGATGCATTTTATGTGCAAAAGGCAAAAGAGGGTTAAGAGGTTCAGGGAATGGGTTCTCTGCTGGTGGTGGTGGTGGTGGTGGTGTATGTGTGTGTGTGTGTGTGCGTGCGTGCGTGCGTGCGCGTAGCTGGGCCGAGTTATGGGCCACGAGAGGACAGAAACAGTTTGGGCCACTGCACATTTGATGATACCTACCAACCTACCTACCAACCAACCTACCAACCTACCAACCAACCTACCCACCCTCATCCCAGACACCTCCAGGTTGCCCCTCAACGCTCTGGACAGCGACAGTTGGTCCGTTGGTTAATTTGCGCATGTAATACGCCTCCACACACATACATATTATGATCATTACTACTACCACTACCACCACCACTACCACTACTACTACTACTACTACCATGGACATTGAAAATCAGGCATATCAGCGACCCAGGCGTGCGTCGTGTTGGGATAATGTACAGAATTGAAGCCGTACCTCCAACGCCCCGAAGTCCAGGTGCGGCAATCCGCAAATGAGCAGTTCCAGTTCCTCGTGCCTGAACAGGCTCAGGGCCGGGCCACCGCATACCTGACACATCAAGGGGGCAAGAAACCCAACCATGATTGCACGGGGTGTGCGAAAACATACGCCGTACAGATCGTAAAGACGGTGTCGTACATGTCGTACATGTAATTCTTACCTGGTGGAAGCCGTATGCAAAGGCGCGAAACTGTGTGTCCACGCTCTCGTTGAGAGTCCACTCCACCAGGCGCTGTACGTACTGCACCCTGTTTGCGCCGGTGACGGGGATGGACGAGCCGCCGGGGATGAGTGGTACGGTGCGCTGCTCCCCGAAAAAGTCGTACTGCACCTCGAAGTTCCTGCGGAGGCAACGAAAGTACGGTTTTGCTGTCCGGACGGGAACTTGACACCAACCTGACACCAACCCGATGTCATGAATGTTTCGTCACGGGTGGCAAAGCGGGCTCACATCTCACCGCTTCGAACTAAGAAACAGCTACTCACAGCTTCAGGAGACGGCTAGAAACACACTGAAACCGCCATCCGTATTTTGGAATAATCGGACTCGTGCCAATGAACGCATTGCGTTGCCATAAAGTGCCGCGCACGACCCGTCAATGCTTGCATGTATGTATGTTCGTATGTTTGTAACTACTCCCTCTCGTTCAATAAACCTCTTACACCCCCACCTGCATAGCACGTCCTCCACCTGATCGGGATCCATGGAGAGAACCGCCTGCGGTTGTGACAGTTGGAGGTTGGGGTTGTGGAAGTTTTAGCCGTTGGGATTTTTGGCCGTTGGAACAGATTCCCGGGATTCAGGTAATAACCAAAAACACATACAACACTCCGCAAGATGCGTTACCCGTCAACCCTACCGACCTCACTACACCACACCCCGACCACCTAGCTCCGAAACCCTTCCCCCCGTCCCCCAACACCACCTCGAACCACCCAACCCTGGAAAGCCGGAAACCCCCCATCTCACCCCATCTTTATCCTTGCAATCTCCCATCAACCCCCAACCGCCAACTCCCAACTCACCCTCAACGACCGTCCCAAGGTGGGAAATGCCTCCTCCAAATCCGACAGCCCAACCGCCTCCCCCAACAACTTCTTGTACACCGCCTGAGGGCCCGCGGGCAGGACCGGGTGGGGCGAGGGGATGGAGGGGGGCACCGGAGCAACAGCGGCTGAGAGAGAGAGGGGAAATCAGAACCAGCGGCGCGGGTTGAGGAGAGCAGGAGGGGAGGGGGAGAGCAGGAAGGGAGGGGGAGAGAAGGGGGGAGGGGGGCGGACCCTGAAGCAGTTTTGGGAACGACATGCGTGTGGGTTTTGGTACGAGGTCGATGATGTACGGCAGGGTCAGGGGCAGAACCAACCGGGGACAAGGGCAAGGACGGGGGGAAAACTTGAGAACGGGGGGGGACGGTCTCAGAGAAAAAGGGGAAGGCATTCACAACTGGGACGAGGAGCGGCGGTCATGTAGGGTTTGGAACGGGTGTACAGCCGTAGGGCAAATCCCTACGTATCAGGTATATTCGCGGGCATCATAGAGGGCCAAAATTCAAGACTTCGCGGCCCAGTTCATTAACACACACACGACCAGCGTTAGGACCGGATCGATATGTAACAGACACACACATACATACACGTACATTCACGTACATTCACATACATTCCACATACATTCCACATACATTCCACATACATACACATACATGCATTCACATGGACATACGCACACACACAAGCACACACACACACACACAAGCACACAGGCGTTCGCGTGCCTCCAGCTGTGAGTAGACCGCACCTGGGGGACATGAACGTCCAGAATGATTCCGTTGTAGATGGCCAAACCAAGCACTGCCCCCACGAGCCGAAACTCCCCCGCCGCCCCGTCCTCCAGACACGCTGCGGCGTTGAACCAGAATGTACGGCTCTCCTCATTGTACGTGAACATGCCGTACTGAGGCTGGAAAATCTCCGCCACCTGTATTACACCCGGCATGCGAGAGGTCGAGGGAGGGGGATGCGGCGGGAAAGGGGGCAAGGGGGCCCCCCGAAAAGGGTCGGGGGTTTCCCAGTGCGGGCGTGTGGGCACGTGGCTGGCTACGGAAATTTGAGGGTGCGCCGTGGAAAGGTAAGAGTGTGTAGGTACGTGTGCGTGATTGTGAGAGTATTTGTGCATGTGTATGTGTGCGTATGTATTTGCACGAGTGTATGTGTGCATGTGTTATCAAGCCCGATCTAAGAGAGAGAGAGACAGAAGTGAGTGAGAGACAGAAGTGAGTGGGTGGGTGAGTGAGTGAGTGAGTGAGTGAGTGAGTGAGTGAGTGAGTGAGTGAGTGAGTGAGTGTGTGTGTGTGTGTGTGTGTGAGAGAGAGAGTGAGTGTGTGCACAGAGATGCCTCCCCTCCGCTTCCCTTCCCTCCTTTCCTTCACCCACATACCTGCGGCCGCCCAAAACCCCCAACACCCCCAACACCCCTAGCTCCCCCCAGCACACCCCCATCATCCCCCCAGCCCCCTCCCCAGGTTTCAGCTCCCACCAGCAGTTGGAAGAACTCTCGGGACACCCCTCCCTGGTCCACCCCCTCCTCAGCCACCCCCAGGGATACGAACGACACACGCAGGGGGCGCTTCAGATGGTGGGCGGGGCGGCAGGACAGCTGCTGGGCGGCGTCAGCCAGGAGAGATGTACGGCGAACCGCGATGTCCAAAAACACAGCGGAGGCGGGGTGGAGACCCTGGGGGGCGTTAAAAGGGTTTGGCGGGGTGTAGGGGGAAGGGGTGGCGGATGGGGGGAAGTGAGAATTACGTACAGAACTGCACACATACATACATGTACGACAATTACACAGGTGTAGGAGTACAAAAAGACACACAGATCCACAAAACTTACCCCCTCCGGCAATCTAGACGCGGTTACACGAAACACACACACACACACACACCTGCAGTAGGGCCTCCCGCGCACCAGCATTCATTTCCGCTTCCTTTTGAATTAGGGCCTCACCCTGCGCGCGCGCGTGTGTGTATGTGTGTGCGGGGATCCGGGATTAGGTTTGGCAGGAGGGATAAGAGGAGGGGATTGGGGAGCGTGCCAGGGGATTCGGGTTTGGAGAGGGCTGTACGGCGGAGGGTAGGACGAGGAGCAGGGAGTAAACTGGGTACATGTGGCATGTGGCGCGAGCGGCGGGGGAAGGGGGGCGAAATATAAACATAAACAATATAAACAAGAGGTGAAAGGGAAACAACACACACACACAGACGCACACGTCCACACACGCGAGGCCCCCCTCGCTGCCCCACCTGCAATATACGACTCTTGGCCTCAGGTGTCAGCAGGCAGGGCACCTGACATAACGACACCAAGGGGGGCTGGTGGGAGGAGGGGGAGGGGGAAGAGAGGGCCGGGGTTGTGTGGGATCTGCCGCCGGCGACCTGAATGCGGGGGAAGGGGGAGGGGAGGGGAGGGGAGGGGGGATGTAGCGGATGGGCGGAAATACACACCAAACAAAGGGGAGGGGGAAAGTGTAGGGGGAAAAGTGTAGAAGGACGAGTGCGGCATGGGGGAAAGTGATCGGGCCGGGTCAGCAGCAAAGCCGTTAGGCGGTTCTCCTCACGGGGCAGAGAGAGGCAAGTTCAAGTTGTGTTTTACACCTTTCCCCCCTTTCTCGCGCGTTCCCCGTAGTGCCAGTGGTGTTACGGCTGACTGCTGCTGCTGCTGCTGCTGCTGCTGCCGGATTGTGAGGGGTGGTGAGGTGACGGAGCTGGTTGCTTCCATCGCTTAATGCTGCAAACAACTTTGGCCTCCCACCCACCCACCCCTGACCCTCTACCCCTCTACCCCTCTCTTTCCCCCGTCATGTGTCTGTTCTGTTCGTTTTGTTCTTTTCTTTTATACCCACCTCCTTTCCCCTCGCCCACTCCATGCCCCCCTCCACCTCCATTCTCCACCTCCCGCTAAACCTGCCACCTCCCCACCCCTTCCCCCTACCCCTACCTCCAGCCACAATATGTACTCCGCGCGCAGGTTGAAGCTCGAAGACAGTTGGGCGTTGTAAAACTCGGAGAAAGGCAACTTGCAACCCGCCTTAAGGGTGGGAGGGTGGGAGGGGGGAGATGCCGGGGGGGGGGGAAAGGGCGGGGAAACAATGCACGAGGCGGTGTTGGTTGGTGAAAGTGGGCTAACAAACAACGGTCAACGGTCAACGAGTCCTAGAAGTCTGGAGGAATTGAGCTCCCAATGGGCCATTCACGGAACGTTAACAAGCGGCAAGAAGGTAGGGGTCAGCCCTCGAGTAAGACCCCCCTTAAATAACACACCCATGCCGTACCCCCCTCCCTTAAGCGCCCGTGACTAACCAATACCCCCTTCCTAACAACCCAAGAAAACCCCACCCCACCCCACCTCTCCGATCTCCGCCAACTCTTACCCTTTCATTTGCTGCATGCAACCCCGCCAGCACCCTTGCAGCCGCCAGCACCTCCGTCCGCCGCTCCGACCCCACCACCGGCACCACCCCACCGGAGGTCAGTGGGACCCCCTGCGCGAGTTTAGTCATGTAATGCTGCAGAGGCCGTACAACCCTACCTCCTAGCAGCTCGGGAGGTAGGGACACCAGCCAGCCGCACAATAGCTAAACACCGGAGAGGGAAGGGGGTGTTGGGGGCCGGGGGATGTGAGGGTTGGAGCGATGAGGGGAAGAGGGGGGAGTTATGGGAAAGTGGACATCCAACCCTGCTCGCCCCCTGTCATGTTCGTGTCGGTTAAGATGATGTAACCAACCAACTAACCAACCAACATACGCACATACATATATACACACATACACGCACGTATATCATCCCTCCTACCACCTGTCGAATGTACGTTCCCCCGCGCCAGCGTGGACACACACATGTCCCTCAAAGGTTCTAAGACCCTAAAATCCTACCTGCAGTACATCGTTCGGCAACCGTAAGGTCACAGAAATCAGCCGTGAAGCCAAACTGGACTCGGTGGTGCGTGTCGGGGTGGTGCGCGTCGGGATGGGGTGGGGTGGGGGCGGGGGGGGTTCGGAGTCAGGGGAAAAACACAGCACGGGTAGGAGCTCCGGGTGGGACAGTACAAAGCGATGCACATGGTTGCATGCAGCCTCGTGGTGGGAATAACGACGCACAAAGCAGCCGTACAATTGTGCATGTACGATCCTGCCTAACGACGCCCGTACCCATTCACGTATCCAACCGCCCTAACCAAACAACCACAACCGTCCAAGGCTCCCCTTCCATGTGAGCGCAGTAGACGGGTTGGTCTAGATTGCGATATGGCGGTTAACGGTTGGTAGTTGGAGGTTCTTCCCTCAAAACCTCTCCCAATGGCCTTCGCCCGCCGGCTGCCGTACTGCCGTACTGCTCATGCCGCTCTCACCTGGTGCCCAGTCCCAGCCCCAGCCCCGAACCAGATAGCAGAGGACATTGGAAAACCACAAACAGTAAGCGAAGCAGCGAAAGACGTTTACGGCCGCCGCTACCGCCGCCGCTACCAGCAGAGTCGTCAACACCATCTCCGCGACCAACACCAACACCAACACCAACACCGGACGCCGCTTCTGTCGCTGCCGTCGGTCCCGCCGCTGGGCCCAGGACGCTACGCGGGCCGCCGCCGCCGCCGCCGCCGCCGCCGCTGGTGATGCCGCCGCCGCCGCCCCCGCCACTGCCAAGGGAGGGCCTGCTGCTGCCTATTCCCGGCATGGCACCGGCTGTAACAGCCGTCTGTAGCAGTAGTGCGTCCAGAAGCTTCATTAGGCTGTTGCCTAACGCGGAGATTACCTCCCGGTTGTACAGCCGCAGCAGCGCCTCAAAGCAGCTCTAATGAGAGAGGTATTGTTCCGTTTCCGAGGCGTCAAGGGAGGGGGATACGTAAGCGGATGGGGATGTAAGAGGGAAGACGCATGGCCATGCAGCTCACGTCCCTCCCTGCCTCCCTCCCTCCCTCCCTGCCTTCATCATGCGGACATACATACATACATATAATGCACGAGGAGAAACAGACAAGGTCTGTACAGATCAGGTCCACCTTCTTGTGCTGAGCTGCCGTGGTAATGTTCTCTACACGTCTTGTATGGGGCCCCCACCAGACGGGTTTTTCCAGACGACTGCCCGACGCAGGCCAACATACCTCAGATCCAATGTTAAAGCTAATGTTAATCGCACCTGTATTGCTGCCACATCCAGCCCGTGGGATGCAGTACAATCGTCTGACGCGGACGCGGACGCCGACGCCGACGCCGACGCGTCCTCCCTGTCGCCGCTGTTGTGCCGTGCCGACGCCGACGCCGCCACCACTGAAGCGGATGCTGCAGCGGCTCCGCCGCTGCTACTGCTGCTTTTCCCGCCGCCGCTGCTACCGCTGCTTTTCCCGCCGCCGCTGCTACCGCTGCTGCGGTCAGCGAACAAGGCCAGGACGTAGCCCGGTGACGACATTACGTCATCCACGGCGGCTACAACCTCTCGGACCGCGCGTGGGTCTTCAGACGCCGTCGCCGCCGCTGCCGCTAGGCGCCGTAGGTCTGGTACGTCGTACGGTGTCAGGTGCAGTCCGGCGCGGCGGCCGGGGTGGGGCCCCGCCACCAGATTCTCCCGTGGGCTAACCTCCTGGCAGCAGTGCCAGTAGCAGTAGCAAAAGGGGACAGTGGCAGCAGCAGTAGCAGCAGCACCGAAGCGACATGGGAGCAGTGGCAGTAGGAGCAACGGGGTTTGCGGATGAGGATGAGTCCGGGGAGTTCGGAGGCAGCCCGTTAGGGTTTCAGCCGGTTAGGGAACTGCAGTGCGGGGAGTGGTACGATACTTGAGGGCTGTAGCAACTGGGGGAAAGCGGCAGGAGGCGCAGTGGCCGTCCCCGCCCTCGTCCCCCTCCTCGTCGCCATGGCGGGTTTTAACAGTAAGAGTCTTGGTCCCATTTTCCACCGATTTTCATCCCAGTCTTTGTCCTGGGTGGCCTTACCCCATCACCAATTATCGAATTAACTGCACCACATAATCTAATTAACTGCCGCACCTGAAGCAGCACGATGCTAGCATCTCCAGCTGCTAGGACGGCCAACACAGACCCTGTGGGAAGGGACGTCAGCCGCCGGGGTGAAACCAGATACGACACGTCGCCGCTGACATCACCGCAGCCGACGCCGGCACCGCCGTTGGCACTTAGGGGCTCCCCCCCCGCCGTCGCTGTCGCAGCCAGTACGGCAGAGCTGCATCTGCTGGGGCCTGCCGACGCCCTAGCAGCAGGCTGCAAACCTAGCTGCGCAACCGGGAGGAGGAAAGCCACGCAGCGGTAAAGATGACATGTATAAGTACATATGTATATCCATAGTACGATGCACGCACACGCACCGCTTGCGTTGCCACAATAGATTTACTTCTACCTTCCCACTAACCCGGGACAATATCCTACATAACATCTTCACCGCTCAAGCTACGACAATGTACACCGAATTTGTACTCTGTAGTAGTAGCTTTACTTGGCTGCAGTAAAGCTACAACAGAGTATAAGATCAAAGGAAGCCGTCCAGAACCGTACAGTCTAGAGCGTACGGTCGTACGGCCATCTCCCGTCTTCTGCCGTACGTCGTACCTGCCCAAAGTCGTTGTTGCCGAATGCAAAGACCTGGGAAGTGGTCGTCAGCACCAGGGAGTGCCGCGAGCCCGCGGAGACCTGGACCACGTTCTCAGTCTCCAAACCCTGAACCCGGCACGGCCTGCGTGTGTGTATGATGTGTGGGGCAGGGGGGCATATCTTCACCCGTGGCCGCTACCCGGCGAAACCCTGCCTTCCCCGGTATTTCGGGGCACCCTCATCTAGTCACCCCAGTAAACTTCTCAGTGGATCGCTTAGGTTCCGCACCCACCGCCAGCATCCAACGGAATCTGCCGGATCAACGGCGGCCCAACTCCATTCCTGGTCGGCTCGCGAGTCAACTTTATCCCAGGTCACCACCGTGCATCGACTAGGGGCACTTTACCTTCCACCATCGGAAGGATTTTCGACCCTGACAGGTCTCGATCCCGGGATCTCCCGGGGGCCATGGTCTGTGCCTTACCATTAGTGCCTAATCGGAGTATGTGTGTATGTGTGTTTGAGTGAGAGATGGTTACTGAAGGGCAAGGCAACACGTGATGCACCAGGTGACGGGAAAGACCAACTGTGCGTATGAGGCGCCACGTTCCAGGCAGGGATAGGCGTAAGCATACAGGAGGGAGGTCAGTTCAAGCCTGCCTCAATGCCGTACCCATGCCGTACCTGCACGTGTTGTCCGTACATCCCAGGCCTGTAGCGCCCCAAGTGCCCCGGCCGAAGCTGTACACCACACCACACCGCCGAACATCGCCGGCAGCGGCCGCGACGGCAGCTGTGCCGGTGCTGCCGCCGCCGCCACCCCCTCCGCCACCCGCTCCGCCCTCTCCCGCCTCCGCCAGCACCAGCGTGTGATCCCCTCCGCAGGATACCTGACAACTCCAGGGGGGGAGGTCCAGGTGAGGGGGAGGGGGAGGGGAAGGGGAGGGGGACATTATGTGAGAAGTTGA